AGCCCGGCGGTGGTGGGCGTTCGGCCGGCTCTTCCAAGTGCCTGAGTGTGAGCTGGCACACCATAAATGCGGAACCTGAAGTGTTGGACAGGAAGATCAATTCCAGCTGATGTTGGCATGATATTCAAAGGACAGATTCAGTGTTTGTTGTTGTTGATGGGTCAAACGCACCTACAAATCTTGTACTGGCACTAAATCTTCGCATTTCGAAGATAACTCATACAATATTAAATATATAGAAATGTTTGTCGATGCTTATCGTTTGAGTGGCCTTGGAAGACTACAAGCGAAAAGTGTGACGTTCATGTTTCTATGTTGTTCGTCGAGCCCAGCCCTCGCCTTTCGGTCTTGGAACCCTTGGCAAGGCGTAAACAAGGCATGCTTTCTGCTAAATGGCACGGGGATTGTTTGACATCTGCCACATCTCCAAGCTACCAGTACTGTTCCAAAAAGAACTCATGATCAGAAGTAAACATGCAATCTTGATTGTTGATGTTTGGGTGGAAGAATTTCTTCCATCAACAGTACTTAAAGGATCTTAAAGGATCTTAAAGATAACATCTCCCTTACTTTCCACTCCGAGCTGCAGGTTTTCTGCCTTAAAATCATGAGACTTGCCAGAGCCGAGCCGGACCCTCCAGCGTTGCTTGGGTGGAAGGTAATCCTCGACGATGCCAATCCTTAAGCATTTGTCGGCCTGAACTCTGCAGAATCTCGCTACAAAACTTATGACGATCATTGCAGACTCCTCTAGACCATTGGCGTGACATCCAAAATGACTACCTGTACCCCTTTCAAACACGCATATCCAGCATGACCAAATTCAACTGTACGTCTTCATCTCAGGTGCTGCCCATTTCGTTGCACATGAAGCCCTTTCAAGCGCACCTTGCACCCAGGATGCAGCTGTTTCTTCAGAAGCCCCCAGGGCAGTGAATTCGGGGAGCGGCTCCGCCCTTCGCCCATGGCGGCGGTCTGCCCCGCACGCTGCCGTTGTTTGCTCCGCAAAATGATCCTCATGTTTGCCATGCTGTCCTACAACTCCGATGAGCAAAGGCCAGTTGAACGTGTATGGAGGTATATTCACCTGAAACAGGTGGTCCTCAGAAGCAAATGGTGTTCAAGGGTGTTCCGTTTTGGTCGTGAAGTACCTTTCGTCTCTACCTTCCCTGGCTTTGGATTAACGATGTTTCACGTCCCAGGCCCAGATGGTTGACCATGACGTCATCCTTGGAGTTCCCAAAGCACGGTTGGGAGCTGAAGAATTTGGCAGGTAGCTCACGCCAACGTTTGACATCTCGTGGTCAATTCTGGCGGTCTCTAGTTTGCGAGTCTTGAGGCTACGGCGAAAGTCTAAGCGCATGGTCTTGTTGTGCACTGCTGCCTTGTTGCAATTGTCGGCTTCATAAGTGTCTTGAGTCTTGAGCAAGCTCCAGCCAATTGGATAGTGACAGCCACAAATGGAGTCTTGGAGGGAAGTCCCGGCTACGACTAGTGGCTAGCACACACATCGCAACCATCAAGCTAGCTTGAGGATAAATAGTATCCTATGAAATGAAAAAAGTCATATTGGTTGACAAGTTGCCTGCTGCCTGTGGGTATTTTTATTAGCCAGTCGTTTCGTCTGCGTCTTTCGTCCTCCGAGGCCCGGAGTCGTTCGTTTCTTCGTGGGTTTTGACCACACGCTGTCTTCGTTGGACTGGACCATGTTTGAGTTGCAATCTGACAAATGGAATAGGCAACCGAGAAAGACCGACTACTATTTTTGAGTCGATCCTTGATGATCCTGCAAAAGCTCAATTGACACTAACCGAAGAGAAGGAACCATAAGGAACCTCCCTCTTTACTGCCCAAACACTCCATGTATGGAACATGTAAACATTTTATAGTATTTTATATTTATGTGTTTTTTTGGGTGGATTTGCTTACTAAGTATAACTTATATTAACTTATATTAACGCATAAGTATTCCAGTTCCATGGAGTGTCTGGTATTGGATCGTTTCCACCGGTGACTCCGTGTCACTGTGTGACCGAGGCCTTCACTTCGCGCCCAAACCCACCAGCTCGCACTCGAAGAGCAAGGTGGCATTCGGAGGAATAGGCCCTTGCCGGTGCGGCACGGCACGCGCCACCCAGTCAATTCAAGCGGTTGACAGCATACATTAGATTCACTTTCCTAATGCGATCTTTGGAAGGTCTACGGTATTTGTTGTAGTTGCTATAGTGACTCTTAGTGAGTACTGAACAAATCATCTATTTCGTTCTGAGATATTTCTGCAGTAATTAGTGGGGAGCCCATTGATGCCCACATCTGACAATCCCATCATGTTGAGCCAGATCTGGACACTTTGAGCCACTCAGTGTCCATTCTGTCCTTGCATATTATCTTTACTTTGTGATCAGCGACGAACAACGACAGCGCCCGCACCAATGCCACGTGCCCCATAGCCGAGTTTGGGTGGAATCTTCAACTGCCTCAGAGTGGTCAAGGCACGCAATGTGAACAAATCATCTTGAGGTTGGTGGCCGCCTCACTTAGCAAGCCAACAGATTGGTCAGGCCAAGTCTGCGGCTAGATCATCATATCTTGTATTTGGAGGCACCGCGCCCCGCTAGTTACAGTAAATGGTATTTGTAGGGAACAAAAATGAAGCAAGCATGCGTCGTACAATACTTCTGATGCGACTGAGTAAAATACTATAGCGGTCTACAGCCTATATCACTTCACATGTTTTCCAATGCTTCAGCTTCTGACTTCTGCTTATGCTTCTATGACTCTTCGCCCATTTCTGGCACGCCAAGGCACCGCTTGCCGCCCACGCGCATGGTCAAAATGCCTTCATCCCAACCGGCGATCACCTGGCCCTTGCCCACCGCAAACTCTAAGGGATCGCCTCTGCCGCCACGGTCGTTGGAAAACCCACTCCGGGATCGAGGATTCAATGGTGCGGGCACAAATGATTTATTTCTATGTGTTTAATTATAAAGCTTTCCCCTCATTGGGGTATGAGTCAATGGTGAATGTTAAAGACATGCTAAGCAGTTGTGAGATTTTTTGGGTATCTTTGGGTTGTTGCATATTTTCTGGACTCGGGACCCTGTAGTTTTATGACGGGTTCGGTTGGAAGCCAAAGCAAATCTTCTGTCGCAATTCTCACGCAGCATTGGAGCTGGTAGCAGGCTAACGAAGTTCTGGATTACTGGTCCATGATCCTACGCCAGCCAAGAGTTTTTTGTGATAAAGCTGCATCGCTACAGCCCCATGTGGGTCTTGCAAACAAGGAAACCAGAATTAGAATGAAGGAGAGCAGTTTGCCCCCCTGCAAGCTCACAAAGGGCACGTATGCAGTATGCAGGTACCAAATCACAACAAAAAAATGGCGTTCTAAACCTGTCCATGTCAAATCTCCAAACACATGCTGACCCCATCAGTTTCCTGGAAAATAAACTTACAGGTCAATCTTTGTCCACCTGTTCTTGTCTAGTAACTAGTATATAAACAACCGTTTTGTCAGTTATCCACATACTTCCTGGGTCAGGTGCTCGTTGCTTGGGCAATTGAAATCCAGACCGCACTCTCCCGTTTCTGCACTGACCTGAGACGTCTTGTCCCGGCCTCTGGAAAGCGAGGAGTCAAAGACCTGGAAAGCGAGGAGCATAGATTACAAAACATGACCCGCTGATCTGCAAAGAAAGCTGGATTCACTGGCCTACAACAATTGCTCTGAATCGTCCTTGTGTGCAATTGCGGCTGTTCTTTGTTGTTTGGCCACCAACATCGTTGCCACTACCAGGCTGAAAAGCACCACCACCACCACCACCACCCACAAGCCATCGCCACACCGATCACCGAAAGAATGAGTCATTCATCATCCATCGCCTCCTGCCTTGCCACTCTCCAATGTCCCAGTGTAGTGCCTCATTTGGCGCACCGGGGGTTTTCTCTTTCCACAGAAAAAAACGGTGTTTCCCTAGAAGAGGGTCCTGCACAAGGGGCCTTTACCACACTAAAGGTAGATAAAGGTAGCAGGAACCACCCACAAGTGAGTATTCATGTCCCCTGACGACTGTACGTGCCGGAGTGGAAAAAACAAAGCCGACAAAGCTATGTCTTATAGCAAAAGGGATTTTCCAAGCAAATAGGGCAATACCCTTCAACAGTATCTGATGTTTCTACTTCCCTGACAGGTGTTCCGTTTGATAGGTTTTTGGTCCACAAACCGCCACTCTCCACCGAGATCCACCTCCAAACCATCATGGTCTTCTTCTGGGCCCCTGGCACTTTCACCGTTTGCCCCTTCACGGGAGCTTCACCCTCTCCGACGACCTCGATGAATCAGAATGCACGCTACGTGCTTCGGACGAGGCCGAAGAAGCGTGCTGGGACTTCAACCCAGGGTCGTGTCTGGGTGTTTCTATTCTTTTCATATCTACATTTGCCTAAACTATTCTCTTCTAAGATAGATGTGTCTCTATTCTTTTCATGTTTAAACTATTTTTTTTCACACACGTTCCAGCCATCTCTTGTGGCCAAGGAGTGGGTTGATTCAATGTCTTCCTTCCAAGTCACATCAGTTCACCAAGTGTTGATATTGGTGTCCACCTCACAACTCAGGTCTAGGCTCCTATTATTGTGGTAACCTGTGGCGCTGATGTGACCAAATGTCTGCATGCCTTTCTACATCTTTCTACTCGCTAGCCCAGGCTGGTGCCATTGCACTACATTGCGTCAGCTGTTATTGACAATGCTTGGCAACCAACCGCCACGTATTGGTCCATATCCTGTATCTCTCACAAACGCTCCTTTTTGCATTCCCGACCTTCGCCGGCGATGTTCACCATCCCAGCTCGCCGCACATTCGTGCGGAGCTGGCAAGTTTTTCAAGGCAATCAACATCAACATCGGCCAACACACAAACCTCTCGAGGCTATCGTCCCAGCACTTCTTGTAGGACTTTGTTCACCTAGGTAAATGATGGTAAATGTAACCACTACCAAGTTCGTCACTTTCCTGCTCCTTTCGTACCAAATCTTACATGACCTATCATCCACATCCACTAGTGAATTGCGTTCGCAATTCCCTGACTCACCTAGCCCTGGCGCGTCGGGATCTCACTTGAAGACGCCGTCGGCCCTGAAAACCCGTGGCGGACGGGCTCACGGAAGACCGGTGTCCGGTCTAAACTCTAAACGGAGGGGTTACCAACGGAGGGGTTCTAACTGGGTTGGTTTAGTTGTCTTGACGTTTTTTTGAAGAACCGTTTTAAGGCTCGAAACATGTTCCAAGACCATTTTATCAATATATACACACATTATATATATATATACAATGTTTATTTAGCCTAATTAATGATTCAACTTCTAACTGACAAATCAGTGGGCAGCTTGTTGCATCTCCGCAAGCATTGCCAGGACATGGGGCTCACATTGTGACATCTCTCACAAGCTACGACTGCCAAAGCAAACCCCCAGACTCTCGGCTTCAATAGCTATGCCATGCCGCCAACGCTGTATGCACCGGGGGTGACGCGCCCAGCTGAGTAGTGGCACCCCAAGCCAAAGAGGATCCTCCGATCCTCGCGCTCACCTCCCAACTTCTGCAGCCTCAGCCGGTCGTCAATGGTGAAACGGATGCCGAACTCAACGGGTCGTTCCATGCTTTTTGGACTTCGAACGGCCAAACACCTGCTCAAAGACCCAGTTCTGGGGTGGCACCTCTGGGCACCTTCCAGCATTAAAAAAACACGAGTAACTATATTAACTATATCAATGATCACCACTAGAACTGGGTTCCTGCTTTTTGTCTGACAAGCGCGCGCCCCACCTTGAAAAAGGACCGTGCAGGGCGAACCTGCCGCGGGACTGGCCGGCTCAGCCCCCCACGCTCGCTTGCACCACTGCGAGTGCCCAGCGGGGTTGCGATCCTGCGGGGGCGACCGCAGGACAGTGTCTGTAGTGGGCCCCCAAATAGATAGGAACGGATTCCAACACTTTTTGGAAGGGGATTGTACTTTTCTCTATCTAGCTGGGGGTCTATGTGAACCATCTTTGGTCTGTGTTGGGTGGGACTTTGTGGTGGTTCTCAGGGGTATGTAATGGAGATCAATCAAGCCGTTTCGTCGAGAGGCAGTTGTCCAGTTTCACCCAGCACCTTTGAAGGAAGTCCTCTGTGATTGCAAATCCCCCATCCCAAGAATGCTCAGAGGCTCAGTACCTTGCTTCCTCCCAAATGTGCGAAGCCTGCAACTAGCAAACCAAAGAATCAACTCCTGATACTTACGTAGTTTGTTGTTTCTCCTCATGTCATTAATTCTGTTCAATGTCAGATGTTCCCAGGAAACCGTCAAACAACACCACATCTCAGTGAATGACACCGGGGTTCTCTGATGCAGCATCCACCATGGTTTACCAACCACAACCTGCCCGGAGCCCACCCAAGCATTGTACCGGTCGGGCAAGGGCAAAATAGCTCGCCATCGCCCCACCACTCCGTCTCCCAATGTGCCTCCGGGCCCCCCACACACACACGCTCCATCTGGGACAAAGAACTATTTACATGGACCCCGGGGTCAACCAATGTACCTGAACACTCCCTATATACATATGCAATGTGTTACCTGCAAAAAAAAAGATGGGAAACATATGGAAACATGTAATTAGGCATATATGATCACAAAACCGATTCCATACACTTGGCTGCTCTTATCCACGTTTCTTTACACTTCATTGGTTGACCTCACATGAGGGACTCTTCACCTAGATACCTGTAAAGTGAACTCCAGGTTGCCAATCGTTCACTTCAACGTATGTCAATTTAGGACCACACTCAAACCAAGCAAACCAAAAACCAAAGCGCAACCCCCGCAAGAGTCCAGAACAGCATGTAAAACAACAAAAACATCCACACGTTATGTGATTTCTTCGTGCGATGGACCATTTTCGCTACGTCATCCCAAGCATCCCGGAGCTGCTCCTTCTTGTTGAGCACCTTTTGAGCCCATTGTAGGCCATCATCTCGTCGGTCCAAGGCGCCATGCATCTGCTCCTGAAACTGCTCATGGCCGTTTAGAATCCGCCCAAACACATGGGATCACTGTGTAGCCAATCTAGCAACATCAGACTGCACAAATGGACCAGATCCATACTCAATCTGCATGAACTATATAAATCAATCTAAATCAGCTACACATGGAAACTTGATGAAACTTGATGAGTTTGATCTTTGGTGTGTTTTCAGCTCAACAAACAGCACATGCTCACCCCTTTTCCTCCACATATCGATGGATCTCGACTGCTCCAGCACGCAAGAGCCTCGTCCGGATGGCAGGACACATGAATCCACATTTGGACCGGAAGGTCAACCAAGGTATCCTGGTCTTGACCCACGGCCATACACCGATCCTATGGCGACGCGACCCCAACAATTGGCCCCTGGTGACCGTTGACCCACCCTGGAGGGGATCAAAACCCATCGCCCGGTCCACCCTGCATTGACGGCCAGGAAGTCTTGGACGGCATCGGGTTGTATGTCCAATCGCCGCACACTCTAATTCCCAATGTTCAGAGTTGTCCATCCTCGAACTGTTTGGAGTTTTGAAAGTTGTATTGTATTGTGCATGGTGCTGATGCTGTGTATTGGAATAGTGTGGAACTCACTGAGTCCTCGGTACTATCGAACCCTCCCCTCCCCCCGCTGCTGGCGCCACTTCCGACTTCGGCCCGGCCCTTTGGCCAGGTGGCACGTCGTAGGCCTTTAACCTTGGTCGAGGCTCGAGTCAAGGAATCCGTAGACCAATGGGGTGAGTGTTTTGGCATGTGTTTGCTTTATCGATCTTTCAAAAGGGTCCGCTGCATATCCTTAGTTATTGGCTTACTTCAAAACGCACAAACTGTTTGGGGTCCACGCTGGCATATACAGTAGTTATACTTGTTGTATTCCTTGTTCTGCACAGTTGGTCAACGTTGTGAAAATTTCATCCATTGTCTGGAAGAGTCTGGCCATGCACCCAAAGAAAGTGGTGGATGTCTATCGGTGATCAGCCGGAGTGGGAAGGGTTGGGCCCCTTGGTCCTTCACAAGTGACGTGAACCAAGGCTGCCACTTGGAGCGAGGCAAATGACCATCGAGCTCTTTGAAGAGCGTGGGCACCTCCAGCTGTGTTGGGTATATGAAAGCATGCGGCACCTCGCTGAGAAAGGCATGGTTATGCATGGTTCATGGTGAAAAAACATGTGGAAACGAAACTGTCTGGACACCTTGTAAAAAGTGACCACCATGGTGGCTGGTGGTGGACTGGAGAACTCTGGCACATCGGCCAGAGGACTCCTGTCGCCTAAGATGTCAAGCTGTCAATTTGGACTCCTCTGCCACGATGGTCTCCAGGACACCGACAGGGATCAAAAGACAAACCTGCTACACTCTGACGAACACATCACATGGAAGTGGATGGGATGGTCCCGAAAGGAAGACTACTTTCCTTTACGCACGGGGGGGTGCCATCCACTTTCATGTGAGGTGTTCGTCGGAGTGCACCCTCCGTGGAATAGTCCCCGTGGCGTGGATGGCAGGGCTCCTTGACTTGGATGACCAATGTTCCGAATACCAAACCCCAAACACTCATGTATTGCATATTTACCTATACATTGGGGTGGTTTGGGGGGGTCAATGTAGGCATATATGGCAATATATGGCATACATTGATGGAGCGTCTGGGAACAAGTGCCCAAACTCTTTGGCCTGGTGTGGCCGCGGCCGCTTGGAAAATGGATGGTTCGAAACTGAATTCAGGGAGACGAGGTCTTGGCTGTCTTTCCCTATCAAAACAAAGGCCAACCGGGTGGTAGGCATATTATATATACATATATATCATCTGACATGTGTGAGTCTGGAAGGGGCTTCAGCAAATGAGTGGCCAAAAGTAACAGCAAAAAGGTTCATGTCATAGCCCGAGGCTTGGCATTGTTTTTCAGTAAGACCAACGGATGCCCAAATCGTGCAAAAACTGTTTAAATGCAAGCTAACACGCACACCACATCACAAACATCTGCCCATCTACCAACCACCAAGGTCCTAATGCGCAACCCCCAAGCTGCACCTCTCTCCCCGCCTCCCCTCCTCAACCCCCTCCTTCGATCCCTCCGCGCCTCGCGCGCGGCCATCAAGGCAGGGCCCGGGTTCTTGGCAACCGCCTCCGCGGGCGTCTCCTGGATGTCCAGGTTCACCTGGGCCGTCTCCCGGTCGGTCCGTCTCCCCGCGGGTGTAGCGGAGCAAAGGGGCGGGAGCAGGGTCAGCGGGTTCAGGCGACAGGCGATGGGAGTGTTTTGCTTGGAGAGGCACCCCCCCGGTCAATTGGTACAAGCACAGGCGACACAGATGGCGACAGGCGACAGTGCGAGAGATTTGTGATGTAAACACAGGACTTAGGGGCACGACAGGTGCCATCAGGGGCCCTCAGGTGCTGGTCTGCTTAGTATGTCAGCAATGGGTAGTATATCCATTCGAGCCATGCCCATGTGAGGATTAGCTTTATCAAATCTCTCTTGCGCTAATGTGAGAACCTTCAACCTTTATGTGAGGATCTTCTTGGCATCTATGATTCATCACGAATTGCTCACTGCACGCCACTCCTATTGTCTCCTTGTAGTCTAAAACTTGGCTGTGACATGTTTTGACAATCTACCAACTTATACATTTACATGTTGCTATGTGTTGACCTGATGACTTCGAAGAATGCATTAAAATCCAACATCTTTTTGAGGTCATTCCCCGGCGCCTCATCAGACTCGATTTCGGCCTGTAGCACCCCATCAATGTGCGCCACCTGTAACTTCTTGAGGCCGAGGCCCGATGCAACTGGAAGAGGGGGGGAACCCCTTGGGAACATCTCCAAAACATGAAGTCCCTCCATCCCCAAGACTATCCCAACCTAACCTGGCCAGGGCCCGGCCCTACTGTGATCAATTCCCAGGCCTGGAAGGGGCTAGAAATTCGGTGGTTCCATCACATGCCTGAAGACATTCTTCAAAGATCTTGTGTGGGGTCTCACATGCCAGCCCGATCGATGGATAGTCTTTCTTCTCACCTGGACTGTGACCACTCCCTCCCAGAACTGTCAAATCCTTTGAGTGTTGGAGAGGAGCACCCGGTGAATCCCAAACGGCACTCGATATAGTATGCCATGCTGTCACTGCAAATCGAGTCTTCGAAGCGTTCAATTGCTGCTGCAGTTCTCCACTGTGGCAACATCATTCATTCCTTGGAGAACTTCGTTTTTTTCGCGGCGACTCTCTTGGGGAAGAAAGGGCACGTCCTGTGGAGGGTGGTGCTCCAGCCATGGACTGTGAGTTTCAGCACGGTCCTTCGGTCCTTCGGAAATTCCGGCCTTCTCAATCAGCCGCGACATGGTGTCAGCACCTTGCGGCTTAGCAACTCATCCGGCGATGGAGTAAACAACTTAACAAATACATCCGAATTTCCAAGATATCCCAAGCACATGGAGTACTTCTATAGACATTGGGATGGTGTCAGGGGTGAATGTAGCTAAACATACAGTACCATATCCGCCAGTGTCTGGGTATGTGACACGTGGTACCTTGGACATTCTTCTCCATCCTCAGGTGCCACGTTGTTCACAGGTACCACGTTCTCGATTTCCCGTCTCAACCCGTGGTACCCCTGTGCTGGTCACATTCCAAGCGGTGTTTCCAGGGACTTGCCGTGGAACTCTGGAGTGAATGATCCTGCTTGGTGTGTTCTCGAGCCTTTACGTTGACCAACCACACTGGGGGAGGACCAAGATCGCGCCCAGGTCAACACCCAGACCAGCAGCACGAGAGTCCGTCTACCGACGGTTTCGACTCCAAATGGTACCACTGTGGTCGACCTGGGTGGGTTTCACGACTGCTCCGAACGCCTTCAAATATAGCTGATCCACAGGCAAAATTGAACCCTGCTATAGTTGGCCACTTGATTGGGTTTCATTGAACTGCCAGGATCTTGGTTTCTGGGGTTGTAGTACATGGCCAATCGGCATCATCTTCACGCTCTTCCACCAAGAGGCAGAGGTCCAGCTCTTCCACTGTTTTGGAACTCCTGGACAACGTGGGCGTTAGCGCACGAGACAGGGGACACTCTTGGAGACACTCTCACACATGGCGTGTTGTTTGAGTGACTCAACGGAAGGTTGAGCTCTGAGTGTCAGCTCTGAGATGAAACCATCGAGCTCATGCAGTCTTGGAAGTTCTGAGTGTTGTATCTTGGAGTTTCAGCTTGTGATTAACCAACACTCAGAAGCCACTGACGAGCTTCGGTTTGACGTGTGGGACGCTGCTTGGCCCTTCCTGAATGCTTCTAGCAAGTAGCCAGGCCCTACCAGCCCCTACAATCGGCAACTAATATTTTTATTCCAAATAGGCAGACCAGCTTCATCCACCCTGGCTAGAGCCAAACACCCCGAATTTCCAAGGCTACCAGTACATACATCTAAAATCTAAAAGCAATCCATCGATGGTCCTGCTGGGAGATTCCACCATGGATAGGTCATCCAACGTCCTCAGTCTAGCTGAGCGGACCATCGGACATCCACCGAGCCGAACGTAGGATATTCATTGGATACTGGAAGCGATGGCCCATGACACAAGAATGGAACTTGGTCCGAAGCTCCTGGGTCTTTTGGTGCTTGGCGTTCCATCATGTTCCAGTGACTCTATGTGACTCTAACTCATCTAACTCATTGGATTGGCTTATGTTTTCGCAGTTCAAAACCCAAGGTGATCTACGATCAAACGACTCCCCCACATCCATTTGAGGTTTCCAAGTGACCCCCGACCCTCACCAACCTAACCTTCCCATCAGGTCCCATGCGGGACTGGCAGGTCCGCCGCAACGCTTCGACCCACCGAACCCACCGGGCCCAAGACTCGCTTCGAGTCGCCTTGAGGCCCCCTACCCCCGGTTCGACACGAGGCTCGTGTAACAAAGCAACCCAACATGTCACATGACCAAAAGGCGTGGCAACACATGCCACTGGGGCTGTAATATTATGTTATATTCTAATCTTCTTCACTAGCAAGCTCGAGCCCTCCACATGTGTCTTTAACAAATGCTCAACTTGTGACTTCCTTGCCTCCGCCCGCGGCATGGACTACTAGTTGAGCTACGTGAGTGCACACATGAAGTGGCTTGGGACCTCATCGATAGGCTTGGCTATCTAGGGGCACTGGGAAGCATGTGACGTGATTTTCAGCAAAAGCATCAGCTAGCATCGATGGGTGCCTGACATTCCGACATCCCACATTATACGGGTGACTTCCAAGCCAGGAGTCTGAAAGAGCTCCTCCGGCGGCAAGGGCTCCTCCGGCGGCTGAGGCTCTGGCACCTGGGCGATGGAGATGGGAGAAAAAATCAACTCAAACGGTCAAAGAAGTGTTTGTCTTTCTCCTGATTTTGGATCAGCTTGTATGGTAATTTCAATTGCTTCCTGTGGTGGATGGGCCAGTGATGGCTGAAAAGCTAGGCCAAGCGGCACCACTATGGTCAAAATGTGATGCCCTTGGAAATCTGGAGTGGCCAAGTTCGGTCAGGAATCATACAAGTGCCATATGTACAGGTGAACCACACGGAATCATGTCCAAAGCAACTCCCTCTTCTCAGGGGTGTGAACTACACTTCTGAGGCTTTGGGTGGCTTTCTTTTAAGATAATCAGGTGAGTCTTGTTGATCCCGACCAGACTGTTAGTAGGGTCGTTCCCTTCATTCAGGGGCGTTGTTCTCAGGCTCTCCAAGCGGCGTCGTTCTGCAGCATGGCCGCCGCCTCCGCTGTGCGGTGTGCCAGCTCCTAAAGTTGCGATGGATGAAGGCAAGTGAGGGATGCAAATTGCACCCGTCTGCCGTAGATCAGCAGGACACCAAACATACCCTCCTTCAGACTTCAGAGCCTTCAAACAATCATGAGTGGAACAGTGGAACATAAGCACCTGGAACACTGATGGAATCTACAAAGACGAATTCAACTTCCACGATTCCACGATTGTCTAAGAGATGCAAGTCCCTCTCCACAAAAAAATATCAATCAAACACACACCCAAACACACACTGTGTGGATGGATGGGGCATGGGATTGGTGATGCCTGACTGTGCGACCACTTGTGCGACCATATTATTGTATCCATTGCTGGGTTTGCATGCCAATCCCGTGTCCACACTCATTTGTGTAAAGCCATTCGACGGCACTTCTGATCAAATGGAAGACCTCGTCAACAAGGAACAGAAACACCAGTTCATTGTCTGGAGTCTGGAGTGAAAGGAAGAAGGGTAAGCCGGGTAAGCCGGTGTGCATCCGCCCACCTTCAATCCAATCCCAGCAAATGCGGATCTTGGATAAAACAATAAATAAACAAAACACACAAACACATGTCCGGCCTTCCAGTTTGACCCCGACTAAGCCGTTCATTCATTTGTAGCTGGGCGACTAGCATCACCCCGAAAAAAAACACTGTGCTTGGATCTTCTGGAGCGTCACTGAACAAAGCATCCGTCTATCTGGCTGGGCCCCAGTTGAAACTCCACATCTTGGTCAGCAAATCTCTAAAAGATTCTAGAAGCATTCGGATATGGGCGTATATATTACTATTGCATACTATTGTATATTAAACTAGGGAGACCTCCAGTTCGACGCGGAAGGAGCGAAATAGACCAACACCCAATGGACCACGGGGTCCCCCCATTAAAATGCATATTGCATACCCATCTCTCTCTCTCTCTCTCTCCATTCTGCTCCAAGCTGCCAAGGCCGTCGTGAGGTTTCTCTCCAATCGGAATTGCTTTTCCTCAGTTTCGCTCGGATGGACCGCCCGGGCACACCGGCAGGGCTGTACACGAGTCCCTTGGGCGCCGAAGGTCCACGTCGGCCCCCCAGGTCAGCATGGGCCCCGAACACCACTGAGGGCTGGGTCCATGGAAGACCATTCCCGGGACCGGACCGGGCGGGTTTGGGAGCGGACGGACACTGAACGCCATCCGAACGGGTGAAGTGACCGCCGGCGGCTCGATGGCGAGCAATGAAGCGGATGAAGTGCAATCCAGTGTCTTCCATCACCTCCTGCAGGGCTTGGGTGGCGATACTGATGAGGACTCTTATGGCTACTGTAGAATCTGTAGAGGAATTTCTTGCACCACCAAAGGACGTGCATCATTTTGACCGAATAACCTGAATGACCCACTTGGTCCAAAGCTCAGAAGGAATGCCTGGATTCTGGATCCCCGATTCTGTGGCGCCAAAGGCGTGGGGCCCAGCCATCAGAGGCCCAGCCATGTGAATATACAAGCACCAAATGCATATATAGCTGGGGGAGAGTATATAGTTGGTAAACAAAATATGGTGCATGGGATGTGCGTCACGGGCAAGCTACATGGTTGGAACCTGAAGGAACGCACACCACTCGAGGTTGGCTTCGGATGATCGGGCCCCTGAGGTCGCTGGTCGGGCTCCAGGTTGGAACGACCCAAGCCTCTCAAAGGACCCATGGCCCATGCAAGAAACTGCATGCCACCTGAGCCTCCCAAGCCTTGTCCGCATAGGCCTTCTTTGCAAACCTCATTGGCAGGCAAATGACGAGTGGATTCTTATGAATTCTTCAATGCAACTGTAGCTGTACGTTCCAAATTGAGGGACAACAATACTGATGCAGTGCCAACGTCCATGTGCCAAAATGTCACAGGTTTTCTCGCCGTGCCAACGTTACCAAATGTTACCGGTTGGTCTGGCCGAAAAAATGAAACATCGTCCAATCCCAGAAACAGCTCATCAATCTCTGCGAAGACCTCCTCCGGAGTCTTCTTGCGCTCCTTCTTGGTGAGCTGAATCCCCAGCCTGCGCTCAAAAAAGCGCCAGGTGCGCTGAACCCATCTGAACCCCCATTTCATGCACTGGGTGGGAATTGGCAAGCTGCAATTGGAGGCATGATCAAGGACCAGCACCTTTGCAGACCAAACGAACACCCCAATCAGCAGAAAGGGGTGAAATTGTCACAGTCAAAGCACTTCTTAATAGGTGCCAAATTCGAACCAACACAAGCAGGCCTCACGAGGTGGCAATCGTGTCCGCACATGTTCTGAATCTTATATATACGAAAGACCGAAACACGTCTGATCATCCTCCAAAGTTGCTGAACAATGCTGAACACATCCCCTGAATAAGACATTCTGAGGATACGTGGTTTCTTGATGTTCTTGAAAGAAAGCCCAATTTCAAATCATGGGGCAGGTGGCACTTTCATGCCCCAACAGCGCAATTGCTGATTCCATGATTTGTCACTTGCTCTACTTGCTTTAGAGCTTCACATTCTCATCGTTTTCTTAGTGCACTTCACGACCCCAAGAGTTGGCAGACGTTTGGCCCGCAAGACCCCGGCCTCTTCTCTCTCCTGAGCTGAACCAATGGGAAAGAAAGAACCAGCTCTAGGCTCCAGTGACATGATACCTCGTGACATGCACATGTCCCCACCATCTCTCCATCCGCTTTTGAACGCCCCATTTTCCACCCGTCCGCCACCATCGCTCCATCCGCCACCGCACGGAAACACCGCGCCAGTCGTGTTCTCTGTCCGTGTCGTCGACCGAGGTGCAGCGCCAGCTGCTGTGGATGACGCAGGGGCACCACATGGATTTTGGGGAAGTGCTGCCGCTGGGGGCCTGGTGACGTCGCAGGACGTGTCCCCAACACGAACACCGATCTGATCACGCGGGATGTCCATTCCCATGCTTGGGGAACTGATCATTGATTGGGATCTTTTTTCTCATATATGATGAAGACCCTGTGGCTCCTCTCTGTGTGTGTCATGATTCTCTGTTCAAGCCAAGCTTAGAACAACCACACCCATCCGCACGCGACGAGGAAGCCGTGTCCTGGTAGCCGTGGCAAGCTTTGTGACTTCTGCATCGCTTCACCTCCGGTGACGCGGTAGCCGTGGTCGTCAACACTTGCGAAGGACTGAGGATGGCTGGACCATGAGGTACCAAAGGCCCGTTCTGGTGCCTATCCTTATATATGGACCTTAGAGCGCCCAGTCAGAGTACATGGTGGATCGCATGGATTTGGCAGGCACTCCTAGCCGAACACATGCGAAAACTGTGCTTACCGGGATCGTCCATTGGGCGTTCATGGATTAGCCTATAGGTCTTTTAGTATCCTCGGGGCTGGCTTAGGATTCATTTTTGACTAAATCTCCCAAATGGACACCCCTTGGATGATCAAGGTCTATAGGAGTTTTCTCCATGGTGGTTTTGTTGGTCGCCTCGCTAGGTACACTCAATGGTCGATGCTGTTCGCGACATCGCCTCCCACTGGCAGCGGGCCACTTCCATGGAAAGCTGGCGGCTCGCATGGTGTCTTGAGCCGAAAAGGCTGGGAATTTGTTCATGTGTCCTCCGCTGACTCAGTTAGTGATTCGATGAGCCTGGTTGCAAGTTTGCCTGCTTAAAAGAAGAACAAGCAGCAAACTGAATCAAACATGTGATGAATCATATTGCATCATGATGGACAATATATGGTCAGGCATGCTCTGATCGGCAATGCCTTGCATTGCGCAGAAAATAAACTATGGTTGTACTGTTGCACTATGAGCATAACACATCTGTAGTAGACATCAAACCTCATCAATACATATCTGTATCATCTATATACATCAAACTAACTATGACATCAAACCCCACCCTCCAACCGGGCTGCCATGCCAAATCCCGGTACTGCAAGCCCGTGTCGCTCGTCGTCCACGGCTTCTCTTCCGCCGCGGCAGAGAACGGCCGCGCTGCCGTCCACAGACCAGGCACTGTTAGGGTGGCCCAAAGAGCTCTGCACGGCCTGCCAGGCCCAATTGCATGGCGGGTGCTGTCCGTGGCTGAGTGGCTGGGTGGGTGAGTTGGTGATGTTGAGGACTATATACTATATACACCTGCGTAGGTGTGCAGCCATTAATGATTTGAAGTGCCCCAGCATGTGCAAGGTCAAGAAGAACATTGACAGGGATCTTCAAGTTTTTGAAAAACAGCTGGCGTGAAGGAAAGCTTCCTTTGTGTTTCTCTGTGTTTATGTATTATGATCATGAGTGTAATTAATGTGATACGAGAACTTTGAAATGCACCCGGGAGAAATCTGCTCAGACTTCTGGACCGAAGACCCCAATTAAATGGTGCCACCTGCCAAAGAATCATAATAGTGATGTAGAACTGGGTGCAAGTCGCTATAATCAAGGAAGCATAGAAGCACTCTCCTCGACTCAAGCCCTTGCCTTGAAGGACATTATCCAGGTTTGGCATTCTTGGGTAAAAAGCACCGGTTGAGAGATGTCTGTCACTCCATCTGAAGCATTGGTGCTGAAAGGCACCCCCAAGTGGAAATCATCATTGACGAATACATACGAATACCAAACTAAACAGAGGAATTGCTGAATGCCCTTTTTGTTGGCAGGTCTGGAGAGATGTGCAGTACTCGGTGGGGCCGGCGCCGCCTCCAGCTCACCATCCCATCCTACTCTGGGCCCGGTCGTTTCCAGAGTCCCCCGGCCGTCTCCCGGGAGCCGGGATTTCCCGTGCCAGGGTCAGCTCCTGGATGCGGGAACTCGAGTTCGTGAACTGGGAGAGTGGACCTGGTTGCTCGCTAGTGGGGGGTCTGGTTTCTCCAATACGCTCAGGATGTTCTCTCTCTCTCTCTCTGCAACGTCTAGTTGCCTCACGAAGATACTGCCGTGGAGTCTTTCGGACATGTTCAGGTTCCTCCCACCGTCCATGCCATGTGCTCCCAGGTCCTTTGTGACTGCCCGTGCGCGTGAAAGCGCGACGCCATGTCTCCAAAACCTGGGAGACATGGCATGGACCCATGAGGAAATCCACCAAAACCGATAACGCCCATTTTTTGAGTTGAAGAAACATAAGTTTTGACCGTCCCTCATATATACTTTAGTTTTGCTTATACTGGTTACAGTATATCTAGTTACTGGTGTTCATTAATTAAACACAATTAAACAATTCTGAAGCTTTGTTCATTGCTGCTTATCCGCAAAGAAGTCGCCTCCAGTTACTTTGGGGAAACCTGGGCTGTTTAAGAATCCCACAGAACGTCACAAACAGGCTCTTAATGAAATGAAAGCCACATATTGCAAACAATGAATATACACACACATATATCCTTACCTATAGTCACAAAAGCTCATTATCTATACCAGAAGAAGCCATATAGCCCCGTTTTTGGGGATTGTTTTGGTGGGTGACAGTCCTCCCACACATGGCATCTCCATGCAACCACTGTGCAATGCCGAGGACGGTCGCATGGCCCGCCACACGCGACAAGGCGGTGCTTGCTCTCCGCGACCGTGCGATGCGCTTTCTGCTTGAGCCAGGTTTGGCAAACGGCATCGAATCCAGTTCAGCAGAGCTGTGCTAACTGTTGAGAGCAGTATTTTGTAACTATACACATGTAATTACAATCTTTTGGTGTGGATGCAAGGTGGTCCGGCGACAACTTTGGCGTTGGCCTCCCCAGTTATTTTATCAGTTTTTTCCTTGCACTATCTTGCACTGGCATGAGAAGCCAGGATGCACGCCATTCCTCCGAAGATCAGTTCAAATCAACGAAGGCGATGCTCGAATTGTGCACGGCAAGAGCTTGGAACCAAAGGATGCCTTATTATGGTACCAGGGGAAGGCAGCAAACCGTGTCACCAAGAACTTTGCATGCACTTATGCGGACAGCATCTGTAAGTGATGTAGCTTTCCAAACCATGTAGCCTCTCAAAGCCTTGCTGACGCACTCCAGAAGCAAACCATCACTTGAAAAATGATTGTGCCTGGGTCACAAGGGTTGCAGCTAACAGTCTCTCGCCATTGCACCAGCAACCATACCTGCACTTCCTGACCACAACCGCTTGGTCGTCATCAGTCTAATCGTGTCATTCATATGCATCTGTCCCCGTGCAAAGAACTACAGCACATCGTTTGTCCAAAGAACCTGTAACACAGTGAGATGTTAAGCAACACGCAACCGCAATCTTTTCCTCAACTGCTCAGCTGGGGGACAAAAGCCAAAAAACTCATTTGATTCATTTGATTAAATTCATCTCAACTAAAGAAACTGCGCCACCTGCGATGCTGCGAGCCGGGCCCGCTAAAAACCCGAAAACTTGTCGTGCAAGGACCTCACCGTTCGACCTACTCGCCCGGCTGGGCCAGGCAGGTCAATACAAATCCCATATCAGGAAGCCTTCTACCAGGGGAGTTGGCGACAAAGGCTTTTTGGGGCCGAGGCTGGCAGCACCTGATATAGTTTTGGAATCGAAACCACTAAGTTCTCTGCACCCCAAAATCTGACCAAAAAGCTCCTTGGATTACATGAAAGCTAATGTCCCACTACCACCCAACTTTGATTGATCTACACTTGAGATGTAAATGGTGCTCACGGTGGTCCAATTCACTTGAATTCACTGGAACCCCAACACTGCATGCACAGTTGGAAGGAAACCTATGCGAAGGCATACCAATCACATAGGAAAGCACCCTGCAGCTTTACCAAACACAGTTCTTCCAGCATTTAGATTCCACTTGGTCTGGCCCAAAGGACCTGTAGGTGCTGACCCACCGCGGTGACCCACCTTGAGCAAAAGGTCTGGCACCGTCTGCGATAGGGGCCCAGTCCCTGGCCGTGTTCTACGACAGGTCTTGAGTCCATAGAACGACATCTATGGCGATCTGCCAATCTGTCATTAGGGAACTGTTGCTTCATCTATGATCTGCCAATGATCTGCAAATCTATGTTATTTTCTGGGGATCGGGAAACTGCGATTTTCTGCCAAAAGATGCACGATATTGCACCATAAGCCATATTGCACATGTTGCAGCGTAAATCATGAGATCCTCAAATGATCCACATATATGATAAAGGACAAGCCCCCACAAGCCATCAAAGCAAGCATACCAAAGGAGGGCCCTCGCTCTGACTCTACCGTCTTTCCCACACCTCGCGAGCGGATCCACGCTAACATGCGGCAGCGCCACCTAAAGAAAACTCGTCGCAGAAATTCACAGAAATCTACATCGATCAATCGCAATCCACAGCACTAACCAGTTGAAAGCAACATGGGACAATTGAAGTGCTGGACAAATTCTTGATCAGTGGGGAAGATTCCCGAGATACCCACTCATACTGGAAGCTTACAAGAGGTCGCACCTGCAATAATCCATCCACACATGCAAAAATACATACAGTAATATAAAGAATCTTAATTCAACATTAAGATGATACAGTCAGTGATAAATAAAACATCACGCTAACGACAAGTTTTGGGCCTCAGCTCGCAATTCATCTCCATATTGTTGATATTATGTTCCTCCTGAAAGTCATTTTTCCCCCAATGTCCTCGGGCCACTCCCATGCTGCGAATCGCACCATGCAGCGGATCGCTGGAGGAGCGACCAGACTTCTGGACTGACCTTCAGCGAAGGAGGCGGAGGTGGACAGAGAAGGCTGAGAAAACGACGATGTTCGGCTGCCTCTTGGAATGCGAGTGACTCAAATGCATAGAACATGAGACACCCGGGTGACTTCCCCAAAGACATCTAAAAACAACCTGTGACTGTTCGAGGCTGAACATCTGGAAACCCTTGCAAACTTGCAGGTTCTTTCTGACATTCTTGAGCAAAACTGGGTCGGAGCTCAGGTAACCTTTGGACCACCGTTCGTGAAAACATCATCACGAGGTGCTTGGTTTTCATGGGGCCCTGAGACCCTGCATCATTTCCGTGCATGTACTGACTGGTCCGGCAGTCAGAATGACGAGTCTGGTCCGTCCGAATTCCCGAAACATCAAATACGCCCCAAGTCTTGGATCAGCACACTACTGTTGACATAAGAATGTCTATTATCAGGCAAGGTAAGGAAGAATCCTTTGAATTTCAAGTGAGCATTTTTGTGATTCAATTCCATTTCTCCAGATTGGTGAGATTTCTTCAGATTTCTTCCATCAACAGTTCGGAGTTATAGCCGAACAAAACGGGAATGTTCGGCTTGCACACATGTCCCATCATCAAACAACGATGAACACTGCATCAAAGCAGCCGTTGATGCTGCATCTGCGTGGTCCTTCTTCAAACCTGCGAGCACAAAACTTATGAGGACCTGATTCTCAGCGTTTGAAAGGTGGTCAGGTGCATTGCACAAGCACCCTCGTTCAATGGGTCATAGCCGTAATGGTACAGTAAATTCAGCCTTTTTTTGTGTGGGTGCTTATAGACTTTGCGTGACCAACCACAGGCGATCTTGCACGGCACATGCTGCATGCAGTCCAATGCATGCAGTCGCTCATTTTACGCGGACGGCTCCAAGCCATTGGGCTAGGGTGGCGGGTGTGCAGCTCCAAATCAACTCCGATCTCATCTCAACGTTTCAATTCCAAAGCTGCCAGTGCACACCCGCCAGCCTGAACTTTAACAATCGATTGTTGGACCTCAAATGCCCCGGCCGCTGTCTCAGCTGGCCTAGGTCACACGTTTCAAGGCCTTCTCCATGTTGTAGACGTAGGTCGACATGACCTTGTCACTGGAAGACTCCCAGGGACCACACACCAGAGCAGTGGTCATATGGCTCTGCTAAACCCTGAAGAGGCACCAAACAATGAGCTGCTACGAGAGCAATTATGGGAGCATTCTGTTAAAGCGATTGGGGCAAGTGGTTTATGTTGTTGGCCTTCTCTATGCCCCAATTTACAGTAGAGGATTGATTCAGTATGATTTAGTCGTCGCCCTGAAGTTCAATACCAAGTGGGGACTATGAGGAATCACAAACATATCCAAATGACGTATTATTGCACTGGATCCGCAATACCTTCCCCTGGTGCCCGGTGCTGATTCCAATGTCCCGCCATCAGCTTGCAATGCAAAATGCCGCACCCCGAGTTTCACTGTCTTGAAGATAATGTTTGTTTGTGCCGAAAACAAATACAGACGGGACTCCTCCGTCCGACCTTCCCCAAACAGTCCATGTGTGGACTATATAATGTATATATGTTGTGATCTATATGTTCTAGATATACATATTAAAATATGTACACATACCCACAAAAATAAATACATACTTAACATGTATAAACAGGGTCCTTTTCATGGGGTAACTGTAACTTACTGTAACTCTGCCAGTCTACTCTACCATCCACCTGCCCATTTGGGTCGTCGTCTCTCCTGCTCCCGAGACACGTGATCCAGCGCCGACTGCGCCACCGAGATCTCGGGGAGTTCCTCCACAAAGTCCTGGAGCCGGCCCCGCAGGTCGACAGCCAACACCTGACGCCCAGCACCTCAAGTGACTCGTGACGCGCCACGAACGCCACGAGTCACGGAGAACACGGAGCGGGCGGTGATGATGCACTCGGAGCCGGCCAAAACGGAGAAGCGCGAGGTGGATTGCACAACACCACCAATTCGACCAAACCATAATAGCGAGCAAATTCACAAAAGCCGATAATAAACAACATCGGTCGATCGGCACTCCCGATGATTCTGAGTATGCGATTGCTTTCCGGACTTGTCTTGGATGGTCTCGGCTGAGTCTAGATTTGTGAGTTTGGCGTATGAGCTCTCCATAAGTTATATAAGCAAGTGCAAACTGGACATGAACAAACATCATGTCCCTTAAGTTTATATAAGCTCCGTTCAACTTTCACGTTGTCTGAGTGTTAGTTCGCTCTCATGAGCAGCTCGCCCATGGGAGAATAGGACCCACGCGGAAACGGATTTTTTCGGTTGCGAGTGTCCCAGTTCCCGATCCCCCTCAAAAGATACCAACAAATCAAATGCACGCGATGCACGTGATATGTTGTCTTGGACATTGGGCCCCTAGGCCCTATGCGTCGTCACTGTGAACATAGAACAACGATGATTTTCAAGTCAGCCCACATCCATATATGACTGTTGCAAATTGTGTAAGGAATGTTTGCACATGCCACTCCAAGCATCATGCAACATCTGCCTTGTGAATGTTTGCTCCACCATCGCAACACGCCGAGTGACAGGCGTCCACCAACCAAATGGCTTCGCCAGGAATCCGCAGCGGCGCCTGGAATCCGCCGAATCAACGCCGACCGCTTGGGCGAACGCCGAAGCACCAGGCTTCCGATCGCGCTGAGACCAGGGTGGTGGGTCTTTCTGGTGGCGGGGCGGAAAGAAAATGTTTCAAGCCAAGCCGTTAAGTATTGCAAACAGGTCCTAAACTGTGACAGTCCGGCACGTGGACTTGCCGGCATGCTGAGCACAAAAAAAGTAGTCAGTAGCCCGTAGTCCTCTTCAAGGAACGGTGTGGGAATGGTAAGGTTGGAATTCAAAAAACTGATTCTTTAAATCCATCAAAATCCATCTTTCAGGACCGGGCGGTCACAGCACCACGTCCATCACCACCGTGAACATCACTTTGGCCCAGCAAGTCACTGGTTGCCGGCCAGTCTGGTCTTTCAGCATGTCTCAATGATCATCCTATATTTGTTAAATGCGCCTCTTCAAAAGACTCATGAATAGCAACCCACCACATCCCACAACAGCTTTGGCAAACTAGATTCGTCTACCAGGAGATGTGATCATGACACCTTTCCCCATCTGGGTGTGTATTTTTTTACCGTAGTCGGGCCGGGAAGTTTGAATAGGTGGTATGATTCGAGGGTATGATTCGGGGTATGATTCGGAGGTATGATTCGAGGGTATGATTCGCAGATGATTCGCAGCTTTGAAGTTGTATCGTTGGATTAGCTGGACTTCCAGCAGTGGGCCCACTCTGCGCCGAGGCAGTAGGCAAGCAGCATCTGTTGGATGCTGGGCAGACTAGGCAAATGCACTCTTCCACCAAAGAGTCCAGTGGCTCTGTGCAGGCCCCACCAAAACAACCAGGATGTGGGATGGGTGGGAGACTGTGTGGAGGTGCGTGATTCGGGTATGAATCGGGCATGAATCGGGTGTGATTCGTGTGGCCATTAGATTCTGCAAAAGAAGGCAGCCCTTTGGCTCTTCTTCCCAAGGGAGAGCACATGCGAACATTATGAGTACCCCTGGGGTGTGAGCCTTTGCTCTTCCCACAAGAAGACACAAACAATTTTGGCCAAATTGAGTGCCCATGGATCACACAATTGCAAACGTCATGCACCATTGGCTCATGGACACCTACAAGGCACAAAGACCAACCAAAAACTTCACCTTAACACCTGGTTCTTACGTGTAACGTTTTGAGGGGTATGATTCGGGGGTATGATTCGGGGGTATGATTCGAGGTATGATTCGAGGGTATGAATCGCTCAAGTCGAACTTCCAACCACTACATCAGGAAGTACACGCCAAAAAAAATACAAACCCATCTACCAGGAGCCGGCCTTTGCTTGCTTGGGGATTTTGGCGATGAGATCGTCAAACTTCGGGGAGGCAAACCTTGGTGGCCGCATTGCTTCATGCGGACCCCAACTACAGCTTCCCCTGGCAACACAAGCGTGACTGATCCAAACCCTTCTCCCAGTCAGACTTGCAGAAAAACCTCCCCTCACCTGCTCACGACAAGGTCTTGATGAATCACATGGCGGTGTGATGCTCGGTCCATGTCCAGCTTTAGCTCAAGAGGCTCGTTTGTGCCCACCACCAACCCCAAGGTCTGTTGCCAGGAAAGCCCTTCATCCGCCAGCTTTTCGGCAGCAAGCACCATCCGTAGAGCTGCATCCAGTGAGAGGTGGGGCACCGGGTCAAAGCGATTGATCACGGAGATGAGACCCTCTTCCAACTCAGGTCCTTGCATCCGTTTTGAAGAACAGGTCCTCAAATTCTTGAAAACTGGTATGTTTTTCTATGTTTGGCTTCCGGAGTCTGTGGAAACCTGTGGAACAAGCACACATGCATGCCGGTTTCACACTCCAGAATCAACAATCAAATACACACTATAGAGACTTTAGCATTTAGCTGCTTGTGCCCAAGGAGGTTTTCCTGGGTTCGTTGTTAATCCACCAACTGGAGGTTTTAACGTGTTCTCCAGTTACAGGGGCCCCCTGAAAGCACTGTCTTCCGCATTGCCCTGGTCAAGTTTGGACGAAATTCACACGGAGAACGTCTCGAGACCATGGGGTAGAAGCCACGTGGTTGAAGAAGAAATCACTATTATATATGATATATATAAATATATATACATTTTGGAGGCACAACCCTCTTCCAACTCAAATGCACACTGAGAATTGGTTGGGAGGATGTCTACTAGTGGGGGAAAGGCATGCAGGAGAGAGATTCACACCTAGCTCAGTCACTCAGTCGGGCAGCATCCATTCTGCGTAGAGTCTTCCTCCCACCTAGGAAAAAATACACACTAATCCTGGTTTCACTTCACCTGAGAATCAAAAAACATCAAAAAATCTGACAACTCCACCCCAGCCACCATCCCCTCTTTCCCTGCGACCTGCGAGCCGCACTGCCCGATCTAAGGCCTGTGGCCCTCCAAGGGTCGGGACTCCCCTTGGAAGGCGGGCGGCGGCCCTGCTGCGAAGGCGTGCACCTCCAGTGGGAGAGCGTTGGTCGCACGGAGCTTCATCCCCAGCAGCAGTGACACGGCACCACCCAAGCTGTGGCCACAAACCACCAAGCGTTGGTAGTCGCGTGCTTGAATGGCCTAAGAGGCAAAAAAGACAAGAAGTGAGGGTGAGTTTGGAGGAGTGTGTTTTGATGGTTGGTGGTTCTATTTCTGATGGTTGGCTAGTTGGTTGGAGTTTGTGGTTTATCTTTGGCACAAGGATGTCCCATATGATGAGCAATTGCTGTTGTGTAGCCTGCTTAGCCCCGACGTGGACTAAAACAGGGTGAGTGACGCTACGTGGACTGAAAATGATCCGACGCGACGGATGGTCCAAAGAAGGAACATATTACTATTTTTGCCACACATGCACAGGGAGCACCCCAAAAAGGGGTCTGCGATGGGCAATGGTTTCATGCCCTGTGATCATGTAGATCATATGCTCATGTCAAAACACGAGTGCTTTTCTTTACAAATGCAACAAGCAGAAAGGTCATTCCTGGGTAAAAGGGCATTGAGGGCTTGTAATACAACTGATCGCTGGGTATGCCTGCAAATGCAAATACAATCCCTGCATACATCCCAGCGATCCATCGGAGCTAACGACCAAGGGAGGGGGGATGCTTTTTTTTCAAAAAAGAACGACTGTTCCGAGCCACACTCGTTCCGACCAGGCATGGATCTTGAAAACACTCGGTTCGTACAGACAATAGTAGGGTTTCGGGAGATCATGTCCCATGCCAGCAGGAGAGAGTGGAGCAGTTCATGTCATGTAGCTTTTGCCACTTCGGACTCAGCTTCATCCCAAACTGCAGAAACAGCTCCGGCCACGCCCTCATGCGCGTAGCCATGCAAGAATTCACAAGTGGCGCAGGCCAAATCTGTCGCAATGTCATCAATGTTTGCAGACCCACGGATGGACAAAATCAGTTCCTAAGCGGATCGAATCAACACCAAAGCACAAACTGTCCAAACATGTTGGTATAGAAAGTATGGGACATGTTGGGAAACCAAACATGAAAACATGTGGTTTACCTACTAACGTAGGGATGACATTGTCCACCTTGTAGTTCGTCGATCCGGCAAAGGTACATGGACTCTATCACTCTATATGCATGAGTTTTCCAAAAACATCCAAAAACTACGAGAGTGGGCTACTACTGGATGGGGGACTTACCTGTACAACAAGTTCCTTACATGCATCGTTTCAGGTAAGGCTCGTCTCCGTCCTCCATCAGGATCCACCATGGCTTGAAGCGCTCCAGTGCGCTCTTGGGCTCTTCGCTCTCCTCGCGTCAACGCTCGAAGACTGGTTCCTCCGACAGAGTTGCTTGGTGTGGCCTGGCCTTAACACAAGATCCAAATTCAAGTGTTGATTTCCCATGCCTTCTTTTCTGAAACACAGTTCCCCTTCAACCATGTCTCCATCCAGTGTATTGGATCTCTGTTAGGCGGTGCATGTCATCCGCTGACATGTAGGCGTATAACGTGAATAAGTACATCCTCACTGGCATGTGCCCTTGGGCTCTCAAGGTGACTCCAACAAGATCCAACAAGGGCCTCCAAAGCAGGTGACACCACTCCACTTGTGGCTGGTCCACATTCCCAGGTCCTTCCTGCGAATCGAACGCCGCACGCCGCTCGGTCGCTCCTTCCGGGAGTCCCCCAAGGTCCCGTAAGCCAACATCCGCTCGACGGGCACCTCCAAGTACCGTGCAGCCGCCACTCGGTCGCGGTCAGGGCCGGCCGATGGCCAAGCATCCTTGAACTGCAAGAGACCCACCAAGGCCAACACATTGGCCTAAGAAGATTGCGGACGGGAGGGGCTGAACAAGTGGTGGTTCCTTCTATTGGGTGGAGAGCTGGTAGTCGTCAGTATTTGCTGTCAGGAGATGTCAGGAGTAGGGTTCCACATCACTGTTTCATCTTCTTCATCAGCAAACTCGTGTTCTAAATCATTTTGACTTGAATACACTGCAGCAGCCCGTGTCAACATCATTCATGGTAATTTGCTCTGTCTGGGTATTGTGTTCCATCGCATCTTCCTACCTGTACAACTTTAGAAAACAGTATCTTGAAGTCTTGAAACAGCCTAAACTGAAGGATTCGCTGCCCTAACAAGACTTGGTTGTGGCTGAGGAATACAAGTGCCATCCGCCGAACTCACTCAAGTCACTAGTGTGTTCCTTGTATGTCTATATATATATATATAAGTCACCTAAATCTTTGGAGCAATTGGTAGCCCCACAGAGTCTTACATCTCTTTCGATAACTTTAACTCCGGCCCTCCCAAAGAAACTCAGAACCATCAAAAGACACTCACATGTTTGTCTCGCACAAAGAACCTTTGGCTATCCAAGTTCGGCACCCCAGGTTTTCCGGGGTCCCTATTTACGGTCACGTTCCACCTCTCTTGGAAGGAGCCCCACAACCCCCTCCCCTCTCTGAGCGTCGCCGTAGGAGGCCACGGCCAGTTTGGTGAGGCGATAGGCTTCTGTGAGCTGTGGAAGGTCGGAGACCAAAGGCACCTGGAGACGGGCAAACGCCGGCAGCATCGCGCAGCAAGGCACCGAAAAAAGGCAGCCTGGGGATCCATGAAGTGATGGTAAAACAGGGTCAAACTATGGTGAAACCCTAGTTCGTTTGAGGCCCGGGTTTTGTGAGGTTGGGGGCGTTGAGAAGATTAGTCGAAGGGTTCTGGTATAGGGCATGCCAAGGTTGGATGGCTGGTGCGTGGATCAGCTTTGGAAACTGGTGCCAAATTCCTGTCCATGTTAGTGTAGGTATATTAAGTATACTCTGAGCACTCTATCCGGATGGTCGACTGTTTGGATGATGAGGACCCTGTGTGTGTGAGTGTGCGTATGGGAAACCCACTGCTATAGAAAAAAAACAAGCCCATTCAAGAGCCATCAATTGGAACACAAGGTGATACCATGAATAAACAATATTGAACGCACACACATATATATATATAAACATACTAGACATACAGTAAATAAATAAATAAAAAAATATATATTAATATACTGAGTGACGTTGTGTTGGGGATTTGCCTGAGCATGCCTGGGTTATTTGAAAAAGTATTGATGGCTGTCTTAGTGGTTCCCTGGTCCATCATGCTCACATGGTCCGTCACCTGCTCCACTGGGAGGTCAAAGCCAGCAGATTGCAGGCTCTTCAAACGCCCCAGGGCGAACAAATGAAGAAGAAGTCGTCCTTGGACACCCCGATCGATGTGAAGCAAAAGGCACAAAACACGTTTTCTGTCAGTGGTGACTTGTTTCGAACACCCACACTGCACAAAGTGTCACCATTGGACTACATGTGGATCTCCGTTGGACACCCCTTGGGTGGGTGGTTGAGGTGAAACTAAGGCAAACGCTCAAATTCTATGCAACGATGTGCAATCTCATTGCGTACTAAGGTATCAAAAGCTAAATTCATGACCAACGCACATTTTTCCACTACTCATGACCGCAGTTGTTAGGTTTCAACACACCCGTTATGGAGAGCAGGCAGTTGTGACAGTGCGCTTTTTGGCCCATTTGCTATGACAAATGGACTAATTATATATTTCAAATAACATATATTCAACTCTACATGCATTCTAATTCAATGTTCTTTCAAATTCAATATTAATTCAGATCTATCTAAAAGAAACAATTCCCATCCAATTTGTATAAGTCCATTCAAACCTAATTTCAGTTTGTTAAACTTGGATTTAGAAACAATGTTTATCATAAATTATTTCTTGTTTAATTCAATTTTTATTCTTGCTCAAACCTAATTTAATTCCAGAGAGCAGGTGTTGCTGGGGGTGTGGGTTTAAGACAACATGCTATAAAATAAGGTGCTTTACAGTGTTTTCTTGCCCTGGGAGTGCTGGGAACTAGGTCAAGGCACTGCTTTGAGTAGACAAATAGACTTGTTCAAGTAATATCTGGAATAATCATGTATATCAACAAAGCTTTATATAAAAGTTTCAATGTCAAAAGTTTTCCTCTACATCTCTGGAATGATCGCTTCTATAACAAAATAACTAAAAGCTGCTAATTCAAGAGTTTTCCTCTTGATCTCTGGAAATTGTTCTTTTTCATTAAAACCTATATTTGAAAGCCTTTTTTGTTCAAAAGCTTTCCTGTATACAAATCGCTGTGAATAATCATATCAATATTTCAAAAACATGCATACAAGTACCTATATTAAAACTTACCTTTTTGTTTCTGAGAATAATCATTTCTATATTAAATACGCCTTCTACATTGTATGTAAGTGTTTATTCCAAAAGCTGTTCCCTAGATTTCTTGGGTTGACCACTTCTATATTCAAGCCTAATATAAAGGCTCGCATTTCAAAAGCTGTCCCCCAGATGTTTGGGAATGATCATTTCAGCATCATGTGTTTAAAGAATATATAAGAAAGGCTTCCATGTCATGGAACCAATATAACAATGCCGTAAGTTTGTCACACAAAACATGGGAGTTTAGTTAGTCTTCACGACACTAGCTGCAACAACAGGCCCAACCTCCATCTGGATGGCAGCGGTTGAACAACAACACTGAACCACAATATACTTGTTTCTGAGCCGAAAGAGGTTACTGTGTTAAGCAAGATGTTTGCTGTGTGTAAGCAAAGGGAGATTTACGGTCTTCTGACAACAGCCACACATACCATGAGTGCTTCTGGAAACAGCGGTGCGTCGTCTGCGGACTTGGATATGTCCACAATGCAGTTTCGTGGCAATCCCAAAGACGGTTTTTTCGGATGCCCTCGACAAAGTCGTGATGAACAGGGTTATGGCTGGAGACGAACCAAGCAATCCGTTCCATGTCATGTCCGACAATTTGCGGGCAGACCCCAAGAATGACAAAACATGATGCTTGGCAAGTCTTGGTGACTCAAAAGGTTGTCAACCAAAAGCACAAAATGAAATGCATTGGCCCAAGATGACCATCCACCCTAGTTCTCAAGTCCTTACCAGGTTGCATTCTTCTCTACAGCCTCTTGCAAGACCAGGGTAGTAGTACCAAAATAATATAGTTCCTTCTATTCTTTATGCTAGCGTCAAAAAGCAACAGAGCCTCAGTCGCGTTGGCCCAGGATGACCCGCCCACGGATCAGCTTTCAAGTATTCTTATACAATCTGATCCGTGGCTCCCAAGGCTTTTCTGCTTGACAAAACTCCCAAGGTCTTCCCAGACCACGCTCGTAGTACCAAGAGCATATAGCTTCCTCTATCTTCATTATATACTATACATGGAGGCCGATCCAATCACCCTAATGTTCTCCAAATTTCATGCATTGATTCGGGAAAGGAGATTCGCTTTTGTGGTTGAGACTGGTTTTGAGGATAGCTCCTAGTAACTCAGAAGTGTGTAGTAGGCAGTATGTGGAGAGGACCATGCTCCTCACATCGACTGTCCATTTCGTGAGGTCCATGGCAATGCGGTCGAGTCACCGGATCTCGCGCCGGACGCGTCCTCCGTGAGCTGCTCGGCCAGCTCGCTTTGCAAGAGGCCCCAAACCTAACGCGGATTTGGAGAGGTTTGGCACCACGGGCCCCAAGGCCAGGTGGAAAACCCGGGCAGCTTTGGGGCCATGGAAAACTTGATGCATGGAAGATTGGTCTGCAGTGTGGGTATTGAAGGCAAGCGCCGTGTCTGGGCATGGTAGGCATAGTCTACGTGATGAAAGTCCAACAAGGGTCTTGGGAGTATCTGTGACTGCCGATTCATGAGGAAGTTGGGCGTATCTCAGGGCAATACCTCAATGATCTTATGAAATCATTGCTCTAAATATTGATTTCCCAATTGCACACACAGCATACCAAAAGAGTCGAGTCTACACCTCCCATTGCCGGCATCACGGCAGACCGGCTCCGCGCGCCTGGGACACCGTCTCCGCGAGATTCCCCAGCGCCGGGTCCACGCGCTGCAAGACGCCGATGACTTGCTGCAAGCTCGGTTGCCTCGGAGCCCAACGAGAACCCCGGCCTTGGACCCCAATAGGCGAGGGATGGCTAGGGAGGGATTCTTCGAGGGCTCAACCCAAAGGATTTGGAGGGTTTTTGCATGCTTGAAGTGCCTATGTCCGATCAAATGATCTCTCCATGTCTCTCCCAACATGTGCCAACATGCCCACTGAGAAGATCTCAGAAGCTAGTTGGGTCCTCTGATGGATCCTCCTCCACCTTATTTTATCCTCCACCACGTTCGATCATCAGGGGGTTCATTCAAGAACTCCACACCATTTGCATTTAATATATCCTAACATCACCCAATTGGTGGGGTTTTTGCTCGTTTACTTTCAAAGATCGATGTGAGATCTTGCAGCAACATGATGCCATTCATCCGGATAGCCAGTGCCACCTACGTCTGCCACGTGGAACAAGATACAGTGAGGTCCAACCAACAAATCGGAGCAACTTCACCCACCCACCGGTCGCTCTTTGGCCCCCAAAAACAACACCTCCTGGTCCTGGGAGGTGGACGACGGTGAGAGACACCCACTGCGCGTGAAACCCGGCTGCAACGGAAGCTTGAGGCGCTCCAAGAACTGCCTTCAGCGGGCCCAGACCGGAGGGTGAGGTCCGCGAAGGACCGGAGAATGCATGAGAATGGCCCGGGCGAGGTCGTGGATGAGGGTTTAGCTAGAAGCTACTAGTAACATTGTTATTTCATATCTATTCCGTACATATATATATATATCTATTTCAGCTCTATCTCCTTTTCCTCTGAACATCGGGGTAGCTAACATCGGGGTGGCCTAGCATCCTGTGAAACAAGGCACCTTACTAGTAACAAGAAGCTACTAGTAACAAGGGCATTACGCACCTCCAGCCTTCCTCAAGCCCTTGCTCCTCTTTTGCGTGGCATTCAGTTTCGTCACATGAACGCATCAAAACTCCAAGAAAGCCTCCCTCTAGAGTCAGCTCCTAAGAAATCCATGACGTTCCCACCTCCAACTGTCCGAATCCTCCATCCTGCTCCAGCCTGGAACTCACCTTTCTCCGCCTCCATAAGGCCCCTGCCGCCAGCCCCAGCACCATGAATCCGGCCACCGAGATGGCGGGTCGCACTGGTGGAAGAACGGCCTCCCGCTGCAGCCGGCCTCGGAAAGACGGCTCGCTCGACATGGTGATCGTGGGAGTGAAGGTCAGGATTGGCAAGAAGCACCAACAGAGGTCGAAGGACCCTAGAGACTATCCATGACTATTTTGATAGGTATTGCAGGATTTAGGGTCCTATTTAGGCTCACTTCACCTCCCTTGGCAAGGCTTCTATTTTGGGGGGATCCTTCGCACCACCTTCGCCAAAAAAACACAAAACACAGAGGACAAAATCAGGGACAGGCTTTCAAAATCGCTGCTTGAACGGATTCCAATGGCAAGCGGATATTTAAAACACATTAAAAACAACATTGCCAGGATAGGCGCAACATATGGAGAACAACATGACAAGGGGTGCAGCCACACTGCAAACGTTGAACTTGAAAGAACTGGGTCCACATCTGCCAAAGGCATATATGGCATATTGTTAGGACCCGCAAGTGCAAGTTCATAAGCTTTCTGCCAAACTTTGAAACATCCACCACTTCCCGATATCAAAGAAAGACTGAATGGGGATGTCCTAAGACTCAGTCTGAGTGACTCAAAGCAGTGGCACACTCCCAAGACCTGGCGCACTCCCAAGACTCCCTGGCGACCACTCCGAACTGGCCAAAGTACTGATGCTTCGCACAGGCGCGCGCCCAGCACATGCCAGTCCAGCCACATAGGTCGGGACGAGGCACGGACCCATCGGTCGCCCCATGGGAGTGGGCGTCCGGTGGAAAGGGCCCGGCTTGATGTCGAACGAATTAAGTTGGTATGGAAAACGGGTCTATATATACTATGTTCTGTTTGATGGTAATTCAATGCATTTTTGCTCATTTTTGGAAACCCTTGGAGAGAAGATGGTCATTTCAGATGTCATTTCATGTCATCCTTTTCTTGTGTTTGCCAAGGGGCAAAACCCCGCTGGAAGGTGTCGGAATTCACTTTTGGCCAGCCGTGAATGATTCGGTCGGTTTGCCCATGTGTCGGTATTAGTTATCCTCTTATAAGCTCTTTGCAAGCATTGTGCCCACCCAACATGCTGTTGATGTCACCCAGACTACGCATGCTTTCGAGTCAACAAAGAGGGCCGGATTGCCTTTCAAATGCAATCCTCTCTAGCCAAGGGTGGGCTGCGGGATCACCAAAGGACGGCGGCTGCAAGGCTTCTGCTGGTGCGTGGGAATGGCCCCGGAGCGCCTGGCAGCAAAGGGCACGCGCCCCATTGAAGGAGAACCTGCGGCAGCCATGGGTGTTTTCGAAGCCAAACAACAAACTGAGAGAGATAGATGAAACTGGTGTTCGATGAAATGCTGCCTGGAACCTCAAGAAGAACTGCACCAAAACCAAAGCAGCACATGATACTATTGGTGAAAGAAAAGCTGCACCGTGTCGTAGTTGTCAAGACCATCAAAACACTGTGAACCAATAATTACAGTATCATACAGTATCAGTATAAGGTGGTGACAAAAATATACATTCTCTATTTGCTGGGAAGGCTTGCACCCGCAAGAAAGTAATTGAATTGCTCAAAACAAGTTCGTCGTCTTTGGCGAGGCGCAACTGTTGCAAGTGCCATGTGTTCTTTCGACGGTCACAGCTTGCAGGCTGACAGCTGCTCCGCCAGCCATGCCTCCACCAAGGAGAATGAGTCTCTCACATCAGTATAGAAGCTTCCTGAAGCCAGAGGAGATGAAACCAAGATGTAGGTAAAGTCAGGTGGTGTCCGGCAACACCATCTGATCATGTACATGCTGCTTGCAGCTGGTGCGTCGGTTCATGAAACGAACATCGTTCCTCTCTTCCACGTCCGTCCAAAACGACAATAAGACAATAAGTCGTCCGCTTTCATCGTGTGGGTGAAACGTTCCTCGCTGCGACGTTGAGTGCATCGGATCCACCGAGGGAATCGGACCAGCACGAGCCGGGACAACCGGGCACGACCGGAGAGTCGACCGGAGAGTCGCTGTGGCCCAAGCGCTTCTGGTGGAGAATGGAGCCAACTCACTCCCCAGCGTCCATACCCAGCGTCACTACATAATTTATATAACTATCCAACTCTATCTAACACTGAAACCCGAAGACTATTCAACCATCGCCTATGGCAGCATCTGCTGCTCACATCAGTGTTTGCTTGTTTCTACTCTTCCGTGGCAGCCCAGCAAAAGCTCCCACCTCGAGCGGCTAACTCTAAGGGCGCCTGAAAAAAAGGAGCTGTCGGGAGGAATGAGGGCGCGACACTCAGGTGGAAGTGAGTCGAACACCAGAGCCACAACACGATCGTATAAATATAAACATAATATATATATATATAAACTAAGTGGCATATCAAATGTTAAGTATGAAATAAACACCGTTAATGTGAATAAACAGTTATTTGATGTTGTTTGTAAGATTGACCCACTTGAGGACAAGAACCCTATATTTGACATGAAACATCCTGAAACTCAGTCTGGTTGGTGGCGTCAGCTCACGAACGAACAATATGAGTCAGTGGGTTCAATCAATGATTCATTCCAAGTAAAGGTTGAACATATACAAACATTATCTGAACACACCATCCAGCACTTCTAATCGCATCGGACCTTGCACTCCTGCCCCAGTGCCACACGTAGCGTGGAGTGGAAGTGGGCAATCGCATAGTCGGACAGGGTTCAGGGTTCATGATTCATGAGACCGTGACCAGGTATACATGTCATGCTGAACAGGACTGTTTGGCAAAAAACACATAATATAACATCACATAACCAAATCCAGTGAACATCAAAAAGTAACATGTTGAAAACGCCGACATCTCCTCGTTCTACATATGAATAACCAGCCGGCGCCCAAATACCTTTTGTGCAACATAAGGTCCTGCCCCTGCTGCGGAATTTCGCTGTGTGTTGACTTTTGATGGATATGTTCGTCCATGTTGTATTAGGATCTCTCCTGAATTCTCCTCATTCTACTCACAATATTTAATGCATGGAGTTGGAGATGCTTTGTTGGCCCATGCCTCGCCAAAGGCGTTGGTGGCGTTGGGGTCCGCTTGGTGCCTCAGTCACCGTTGGGGTCCGCTCCGCCTCCTTCGCGGGTTTGTCTGTCATGATCGCCCCCAAGAGTGCTACACGGGGTCTTCATACTATACTTGTCATTGGTGGACATGCAATCAAACACACATCACAGCTCCAGGGCTTCGAAAGAAACAACTGCTGCTCATCACGGAGGCTTTGGGGAAGGCACGCCATGTCCGGTGCCGAAGATGCTTGTTACATGTTGTTACACAGAACCCATCAGCGACTTGGCCCTCTGTCCGGGCCTCTGCCCTAGCCTGCACATACCTCTGATGGCATGGTGGACACATCTAACATAGCACTTTCTTTGCACCAAGCGATGGTTGAAACAAAGGCTTCCTAATCTTTCGTTTCTTTCGTAGTTCCTCTGCATGGAACTTCGAGAAGTTTGCAGAGTTAAACAGTTCAACAAAGGGTCCATGTTGGTCTGGTACAGTTGCTGTTTCAAAAATCGGACCCCCGCCAACAACCACCCTCTTTCTTGTTTCATCCAGGAGGGTGTCCCAAACAAATGCCACCTTGTTGGAACACCAAACACCGGTCTTGTTGGGGTGTGGCCACGTTCTCTCAAACACACCGCCCGAGCGCTGGCTATCACACTTGGTCTTGGACCTCAAGAGGAGTGCAACAACACCTGTGCAGCGTTCGCGTGGACCCGACACCAGGTGGGTATGCCTCTGCATGTGCTGCCTCAAGACCCCCCAAAAAACAACTAAAAAGACTACCTTAATTTAGATTTAGACTCAAACTTCCCCCTTCTTAAGCTGGTGTTAAAAGCTTGAAACACTAAGGAGACATGAATCATTCACATGAATCATTCTGATGTTGTTTACCAGCTCGTCTGCGAGATTTGAACGAAATCGGTTCTCCAAATCATTCCAAATTGTCCACAAAATCATCTGAAATCATCTGAACATCCCAAGCCAAATAGCTGTTTCGAGTGGTGGATCTACGCCTGGAGACCTTGTTCGGCATGCGCATACCTATGGCAAAACCCTAGGGTCTCCCGCTCGATTCCAAAAACCCCGTGTAGCGAGCGCCTGGGTCTCCTCTCCGAACGCCGTCGTGCAAAGGAGTATGGCCCTGCAGCAAAGGTCGTCTTCCAACATTTGAGGAGGGTAAGAGTGACCACGTGGTGGTACAGGAATGTTATACATTCCGGTAGGTGCCTGTTACAGTAGTTCCACTCCCCAGTGCCCCGTAGGGGTCCAACCACTTGGGAACTGAAGTGCAGTGCCCAAAAGGCCAGTGAGGTTGTCCAAGTATGAATGGGTGTTCAATGATGTTCAATTTATTAATCTTGGCTTGCACATTGCTTCTGGCCCTTGGAAAAATTCGTTGTAGCGGACCATCCACCCGCACCTCGGCATCATTCCGGCGCTGACCCACATCGGCCCGCGCGTCGAGCAAGAGCTCCACCATCTGGCACCGGTCCAGTGCAACGGACTGTGACTCCTCTGACCGTCCTAGCCGCACCATCTCCCCGGTGCCCTGCGCTAGGGCCGGGCTACGTCATCATCCACATCAGATCACAACGAGGGTGGAGTCAAGTTGGTTAAAATCTGTCTCTATCTGCCATAAGTCCTTGCTGCTCAAGCTCTTAAATTGCATGTTGGGGATCAGAAATCTGCATCCACTGCATCTACCCAACGTCCCGCCCCGCCACCGGTCCCGCCACCCGGCGGGTGGCCCTCCTGGTGGCGATCCGACGCCGAAACCAAGTTGGAGGACAAGGCCAGCTGCAAGGGGAACCTGCGTCACCCAAACACCACCGGAACCGGCCATACCGGGGCACGGCCACTGACCCAGTGGAAAATGGGTCACGAACCAATGATGAAACTTGGAAAACATGGATACTTGTACCCATTTTCTGAGGTTACGAACTGAGGGTCCTGGTATAAATAAATGGTTTGCATCAAAAAGGGCACGCAGTATAACTAACGATACTTTTCACATCACACTTTGATCGACCTGTGATAAGCACGTGATAACGAATAACACTGGGTTTCTCTAAGGCGTAGATGACCAAAACACCCAAACTACTTGGAATGGTGCGCTGCCGTAATGATCTTCAAACACCAAAGCCCCTTGGCATTTTGTCGCTGACAAACTTGGACAACTGCCAATGGGTAGTTACAATGCCATGGTTGGCTTGGCAGGCGTACGACTAGTGTATGGTGGTATCTCCACCTCACCTGGATCGCTCACCGCTTCTGACCAAAGCCTCTGCATGCCCTTACTAGAAGATCCAACATCTTGTCTCCCTATGTCTCCACCATGTAAGTCATGCTCACCACCATCCGTTCCACCACCCACTTGGACGAACCGGCTAGCGCTAAGCGGTGAAACGACATGAAACACGTCGAAGACTGACCCTTTATTGTGAGCTGCAGTGCGGTGGCGTTCCCATCCACAGGCTGCGCCACCAAATCCGTTTGGAATATAGTCGTTTGAAGGTGAGCTGTGGACACTGAGCTGTTTCAGCATGTGGCATGCATGGAATGATCCAAATGAGGCCTTCAGACAGGGAAAAGTCGATTCCAGTGGTTCTAGGGCTCGTCGAATCTGACAATGCAACGTGTGAGTGGGTCTCAACACGCGAATCCAGGAGTTCTAGGTATACTTCGTCTGTGGCTATGGTACGTAGTAAAGTAAAGTATATATATTATATATAAATACTAAAACAATAATATACACCAGATTATGCCAGTATACCAGGAGACCCTAAAGCCTGAAGGGGTGCCAATTGGTGTCCATTAACCACTCCCTGACAGTAGGGTCCAAAATTCCAAACAACCCTTTTGGATCCTTTTGAGTTGTTTTTCTCTCGCTCGCTCCGAAGCTCCCGCTCAATGGGCGTCCCGGCTCTCCGTGGTCCAGGGCCAGGCAGCGGTCGTTGGGCTCGGCCTGGGACGTTCTTGGCTCGGTGGATGGCCTCACTCTGATAGGGCTTGGTGTTTTAATGCTTTGTTTTTTCTCTGAAACCCAGCGAATTCGATGTTCCTACCGTGGATGGTGGACATTGGTACTGTACTGTACCTTTGTGGGATCTGCAAATCCCTGTCCTCTGATTGGGGTAGAATGGACCGGCAAGAGGGAACATTGGGGACGCATTATATCTATATATATATATATATCAAACACTCAGTGGGATCACCAACAGAACCATGGACAATGATGCAGGAGTCTTGACATCCTATGGGTGTTGCCATCATAGATGCAGAACTTCTAGATTCTAAAGCCTAGGAATTGATAGAATGGTTTCCTAATGTTTCCAGGACTCGATCCATCGAACGGCTCCTCATGTGGGACCCCGGGGCCTCTCGTGGTGTCGACTCGACAGCATTTGGGCCCGAGCGGAGTTCTCTAGAAGAAGCCGTGCAGCATCACAGTTGCCCTGAAGGCATTCTCATGCAAATCCCAGAGTCTTGTTGGCTCAACTTGACAACAGGATGAAGACCAAAGAAAAAGAGGAAGCCAAAAGAAACCCCTGTCCATTCTTTTTCATAGCAGTGTGAGTGTACGGCTGTGTACGCCCCTTGGCTGTTGAATCAACAAGGAGGATTGCCGGACAAACCGGCCCCTCTTGAATTGGGCTGTGTCTCAACCAAGGTGTTGTTTGGGCTTCTTAAACTGCCTCCTTGCTCACAGAAAAATTGCGGCGCAATTCAAGCGCGGCATCCTTTTGAGGCGAGAATCCATTTGAGGCGACATAATACTTCGCAAAGCTCACTGGAAACATATGGAAGCGGGCAATCTTTGGCCCTGTCCATGTTCAATGACAAAATGACAGCTTCACTGTGTCAAAGGAGAGTCCCATAGGAGAGTCCGAAAGAGCTAGAGATATGTCGTCAGCACATCAACCGCTGCAGCCCAAAGCTTTGAATCTGGCTGTAGGTGTTCGAAGTGCGCTTCGTCGGGCACTTCTTTCCTAAAACCAACCGTCCATGCAGAACCATGGCCGTCAAACAGCACTGCGCTATATTTTCATAAACCAATGTCCTACACTAAGGCTGTAAACACCGGACAACCAGCAATCGTCGACTGGCAGGTGAATTCATAAGGTACCCCCTACATGCTTTCGTGACTATTTCTGGACTGTCTGTTGGAGGCACAGGGTGCTAAGAGATAGCCCAACCTGTCGAAAGCAATGATCGCCATGATCGCAACGGTGTCATGGTTGTCCACGGTTTTTTTCATGTTTTTTTCACTAGAAACCAGTTTTCTCAACAGCGCCACCACCCAGTGTGCACAACATCTTCAGCAATTTCTGTGATGACAAATGCTAAATACACTGACCTCCGCAAGCACACTTGGCACACGTCACATGAGAATTGTCATTACCAACCTTGGGTGTGCCCCAAATAAATAAATACTGCCTACCCTGAATTGTTCGGAACATGGTGGGACCCAAATCCTCTTCAGCCGAACTTCAACATGCACGAAAATCCGTGCTCCTCGTCCCGCTGGACACAGGCGCTGTGAAAGGCTCTGCTCTGCTCTGAGGGCACATGGAGATCATGGAGTCCGTGGATCAACACCACAGTCAACGGATCCGTGTCACGGACCGTGGGGATCTGCACCCTCTGAAGCAGCTGCATTGGATCACTGTTCGCCGAGCGCACCTGGAGCGCCGCAGCGGTTTTCTCAAGGAGGCAGTTGAAAGCCGTGGGGTTTGGAACGGAATGATGCTTTGACAAATTCGGCAGCTGCTCTATTCTATCCAAGAGATTCATCCCCTCCAATTTGCCATCTTGTGAATCTGCTACTTAATGTATCATAGTTATAGTGTAATATATATATATATACACGAATCATTTTCTTGAAATCTCTTCAATCTGGGAGGCTTCAAACCCTTGGTCTTGCATGCTCTCACTTGAAAGCAGAGAAGGACACTTGCAACTTTCAACACTCATTGGGGCAAAAACCACAGAACCCATTGAGATGACCTTTTAAAATCTCTTGAATGAGCTGGAACAAACTTGCATCTTCCCTATTCTTCTCTCATCCCATGTCGCCCCCCCTCTCCTTTTGCCTCGGCATCCTCCTTGGGCCCACTCAAAAGGTCCATCAAGCCACCGCCCATCGTGGGGCGCTTCGGCAAGGTCGTCCCCAGGAAGTCGCGCACCGCGCCGTTGCCCAGGTCGGCATCATAGGCGCCGAGCAAATCGAGGACACCAGCTTGGGAGATCACCACGCGCGGATGCACCTCCTGAGAGTGAGATTTGGTCTTGGAGGTCTTGGCTTGCTGAATTGTGAATTCTTAGATGCTCGGAGCATCGCAATTGATGATTGACTCACTGATCGTGCCGCTGTTGCAAACCCATTGAAATAGTGTTCCTCACCCCTAGCCGCCGCCCTCCGCCATTCGGAGTGATTCAACTCTACTGAAATAGTTGCTCTATATACACACCAGGGGAAAACTCCATGAAACAACAGGCGCAAGCGACGAACTGTGAATACTTGTAGGAACAAGCACCAAGGAGCGCGAGAAAAAAGAACACAAACAAACTAATTATGAACATTCACAAACACACATCTAGTACAACAAAAGAGGCTCTCAAAGAACCTAGGCCTTATGTCGACCGTTCAATCAACTTCCATCTGTTTACCTATCTGTCTATTTATCCATTATCTATCTATCGATCTATCTATCTATCTATCGATCGATGCCTATCGATCGATCCATCCATCGCGATCTATCTACAGCGATCTATCCACGCATCAATCTGTATACATTCCTTCTCCCAGAATCTGCAAGCGTCTTGCTTGAAGACTTCCTCATCCAACAGGCGCTGCAGCCCAAGCCATGTGGCCAAATGCCCGCCAGCGGAATGGCCGACCACAGCAACTGGCAACTGGTTCACTTGCAGCTCACTGGCTTCAGAGCTCCTCAGCCAGTTCCTTGGATTTCTGAATTAAGGGCTCACGCACTCAAACTCACCCATGGCCAGCTGGAAAACTTCCAGTCAAATTTGCACAAATATGCGCAAACATGAACATATGTTTCTGTACACCACTTGTCTTCCCGTGCTGCGTTCTTCATGATGTTGAATGAATCGATTTTGCATATACTGCAAGCCCTATAATTAGGGTTGGGCCCTGGACAGCCAAATCAGTGGTTTGGGATGGTTTTGGGCCTACTTTCTATAGATGACTGGGTGGACAATGATGGAGATATGATGGGAAGAAGCAACAACTCACCTGAGCCATGGCCAAAACCTGGTAGAAACTATTATTATTCGACTCTGGATGGTTGCACTCCCAACCATCCTTTCGGGGGTCCCATGGTCATTTCGCTACGACCTGAACAGCCTAAGATTCAACGCACGGGTGACGTCCTCCAAGGTCTCAGGGTAACCACCACCATCGCCCACCTGAAGGATGGAGCCAGGTGTGAAAGCATGTTTATGTTTTTGTCGGCCCCGCCATGATTCATTGGCTTACTGCATGTGGTTCAACGGAAACTTGACCATGTTACAATGACCGTAGCTATATATGATATTTTTTGCTGTAACTAAGAGAACCAGTAGTGCTGGGATATAGGGATTGTGCTACCTGGTGTTAGCCGAGGGTGTCAAAAGCAAGCCCAGAAGCGCCCTTGGGTCTTGTGGGTTGTACTCCGGTAAGCTGCCCCTCTTGGGAAACCAAACCCTAGCTTGGATGTTGGAAGGCTTGAGCAAGTGACTCCTTTTGGAAGCAGGTAAGTGCACAAGTGATTGATGCCCAGTGCGCAAGTGATGTCCAGTGCCCAGTGCGCCAGTGATTGCCTGGCCCCTTGGAGACGTCAGTTTCGACTCCAGTCTTCCACAAACTGGTTCCTCAAAACGCCTCCGCACCCACGCGATGCTTCACCAAGAAGCTGAGCGATAGTCGACGTTCCACACCGCGAGTCCGCGGTCGACGAGATCCTTCGCCAGGTCCACCATCAAGCGCCGATCGAAGGCACTTTTCCAAAAGCCGCCGTGGATCAGCATCACCACACCACGAGGATCTCAGAGATTCTGCTCATTTTTGGGTGGGACGGGACGGATTGGGAAGAATATGGGGATAAATAATCGCAAAAACATCGCAGCAAAAAAACATCGCAAAGATTGCATCACCAGGAGCATGTTTGTTGCCGTTTGATGGATGAAAAAGGATAGGCTTCTTCTGCGCAACGCCCTTGACACTAAATTACTAATATGGCTAATTAAGCAGTGGTGCAAAACAAGTGAAAAGAGTGCTTTAAAGGATGAGCACCCTGGTGCGTCTCCTAGACCGGAATGGCCCAACACCGGAATGTGTCCACTTCTGTTCATGAGGAGATATGAGGAGCCTGGTGCCTTCAAGAACACTGTCGTAGTGTCGTAGTGGCCCTCGTGCAAGTCGGGACGACAAACCACACCAATGATGGTGAAACGTCTCCAACCATGAATGCAACAACCCTGATTGCTGAAGCATGCAGCTGAGTAACCTGGTAGGCACATGCTAAAACATGTCGTAGACCTCCTTTAAAGGATCACATCCTTAATTAAAATCTGCCAGTCACATCTGGCATTTTAATGTGTGAACTGTGTGAACAGCTCTCACGCCCATTCTACCAGCGAATCTCAGATCCCGAAGCTTCCCACATCCTTTGCTTCTCAGCTACCGCATGATGGCCTTAGCAAGTCTCCAGTGTGAAGCCTCTCAGGCCCATAGCGCACTTCTTGGACGGTGAAGCCCGGCCACGTCCCAAACAGACTCAGTAGGAGCGCCAGGAGGATGTACATGCAAGCCAGAAATCGCCGAAAGCGCGTTCCGGCTGGCCACGCGTGCCATACATGCGCCATGAAGCAAAGACCCCCCCCAACAAAAAGGAAAAACATGAACATTGATGAGGTCCTTGAAAGTCCTTTCAGAGTTTGTTTGCAGTATGACAGTATGATGCACTCACAGCTTGTCACGCTTTTTTTCCTTTTAATCCGTCCAGGGTCATAGGTTGGTTCAACCCGCATCCACCTCAAACTATAGCGAACGACGTGGTCGAAAGAATGGAACCTCCAGGTGCCTTGTTCAGCCTCATTTGATCAAGAAAACCGGGCAATGAAATGCAAACACGGTACATGTGCACGTGCAGGCCCAGGCGGTGCTAACCTGCTAACCTCTCATAAGAAGAAAGAACTCGCATCCAGTCACCTTGGACCACATTCAGGATCTGTTCGCCACTTCATCAACTCCCTCATGTGGACGATGGATGAATCTGAATTAATCTCCAAGTCTTCAAGGCCGTGCTCCGGCGCCCGCCTGGCGCACGGCCTCGTGCAAGGCCTCGTGAGCGTGGTCAACAAACGAAAGCCGTGGTCCGAACCAAACAAATGCCGACGATGGTGGCGACAGGCGACACTGCGGCCCACAGGCGACACAGAATCGACCATTCATCGAAGATTCAATCATGTCATTGACCATGTTTTGACCCATTGAAACGCGCCGTACGCCGTAAGGCACGACCCCAAAAACCGATACGCATTCACTCAAGGATGCTTGAGGATGCTTGGCTTGGGGGACCATGGGCGTTGTCGCAACTGGATCCGCTGGGAGTTGATGGACCAGCCGCAGCAAACCACACCTGCTTTTGCACACATGATCTTCCTCTTTCCGGGCATATGCCAAGCTGAATAAGCTCTGCTTGGGTCACTCAGGGTGACTCCTTGCAACTGCGTGGCACACCAAGAGCATCCAAGAGCTATATAAGTCTTCTTGGCTCATCTTCGCAAAACAACCCTCCACTCCCAAGTCCCCCTGCCCGCATGCACTCCTCAAACCTCCCACCCCTCTTCTTGAAACATGCCCCCTTCTCGGAGACATCTCCCAATCCCCAGAAGTTCCTCCCAACCCCCCCCTGTCCGGTCCTCTCTCCACGGTTCGTTGTCCCTCACCCGCTCCACCGGCTCGGCTCAAGCGGCATGATCCATGGGGCAGGGATGACGTCGCTGAAGCGCCACCCGCAACAGCTCCGCTGACCTCCACCCGGACGGTTCGGGCAGATCGAGGCGGGGAAGGAGCGGAAGGTCATCCGGCTCGGGGGACAAGAGTCGAATCGGTCCCATTTCCAATGTTTCCAATACATTATCTATTTGGGGGTCTACATAAAAGCAAAACCAGGAATATTACATAAAGCTGGTGGAGCCTTCCGAAACTTCCCGAGTCCTGTGGAGCCCTGGTGGAGCGAAACGGCACCTGCAGCCAAGGCGCTGCTCCTCTAAAGCACATCGGACGTCATCTTGGAACTCCTGGCGCCCCCAGGAATGTCCACGAGACCAACGGATGGTTTTTGCGGAACATGTATAACCTGATGACCAAGCCAAGCGCACCAGCTTTGAATTTGCACCATGGACATCCATGGAACATGCTCTTTTCAACCACCAGGGGCCACCGGCGCCATCTCACTTGGGGAACTCAATTCGGCCAAAGAAGTGCGAATGCAAGGCGCTTCGCTTTCTTTTGAGGCGTCCTTGCTCCGTTGCTTGGAGCAGGGTCGCAAGGGCGTCCGGATGTTGATGATTCGCGAGGGCCTTGGCAACGGCCACGAGCCGCTCGGTGCCAGTCCGCATCATTTCTCTTTGATTGTGTTGTGATATAGAATCCAGAGATTGATTGTTGAGATTGTTGGATTTTGATTGGTTGTGATCCACTATGTGAGCGCTGCGTAGAACAGCTCGTCGGTACTCAAATCTAGAGTCTAGCCGGGTTCTGTTTTTCATGGATTCAATCCTCCCTTGACACTTCATCAACCTGCTCCCAATGTCATGTTTATCAGCCATCCTGACCTTGGAGAGCACAACTTCCTTCAAATCGCCATAGTCACCGTCAGATCGGCCCTGGTGCGTAGGTTTCTCCAAAGCTGGCAAAGAAGGTGCTGATGCAGGTTTCTCCAACTGGGAACGGTGTATAGGTAGAATCTGACTGAGTGACACCTGATTTAGAGTATCAACCATCCAAAACACGGCCTTTTCCGTGTACTCCCGGGGTTGCAGGCTTGGACCAGCATCGATTTTGGCATATTAACATCCCCCCAAAACCAGCTCCGCCGCAGCCTCCGCCGGCTTGAGCGGCCCGGATTCGCCGAGCTTCGTTGATGCGGTCAGCTTCGAGGGTGTGGCACCTGCGGGCATCTGGATGGTGACGGGTCAGTGGGTCAGTGGAGCTGTCATGTCTACGGGCCCATGGCCCATGGCCCATGATATGTTCAGCCATATGACCATATGGAAACGCCATGTGGCCATTTTCAGCCATAGATATTGTCATGATCCCTGAAGGATCTACCGTGCTTCACCTGTGCTTCTTGCGTCTCAACTGAGGAGACACCCACAGACCGGGCGACGGGGCGACCAATCATTGCGCCCCCGTTCTGGCTTGATGCCATGAGCAAGCATCCTTGCCATGTAGCCAACTTCCAATCAGTTCACTTGAGGCCGTCGAGTAATCCAACTGCTGTTCCATCCCTCTCCTTTTTGGAGTTTCGAAGCCTGCACATCATTCCTACCTCTCAACCCTTCCACTGGCTCCGGGGCTTTTGCCTGCCTCCGCCTGAGGTGCCGCCCAAAGAGCTTCGACTGCTTCGGCACGGTGTGAAGCCCCACGTGGCTTCCGGCCTCAAGCGGTCCAACGGTTGAGGCAAGTGGCCGTAAGCGGTCCATGGCTTCCTCTCAGGTATCACGGTGTGGCCGAGAGAATTCGATTGAAATGACCTGACAATGTATAAATATATATAACACATCATATCATTCTATAATATTCTCTCTCTATCTATATATATATATATATATCCGTGTGTGTGTGCATGCATGCATATGATGGCATATGCTGCACATGTCTAAAGTACTGTCTAAAGTCTATGTCACCACAAATCACCACCTCTATGGGCAGTTTGCCCAACCCCTGCAGCTGCAACGCATCTGCCTTTTCTCGTTGTCAACCGCCGCCACGCTTTCAGCGGCGAAACGAGGTCTAAACCGCACTGGGTTCCCTGTCTCCACCCAAACTGGCCATGGACAACTCTTGAGGCGAACTCTTTTTCAATCGGAGTTTTGATGGTCTACCTTAAAGCTGAGGATCTGCCTTGTCTTCAGATCTTGGGCTTGATTAGAATCATGCTCGCATGCAAGTGGCTCTGCAAAGGTCTTGCCACTCGAACGTGCTGTTTATCTCTAGCATGAATCAACCCAGCTTCTTTCACCCCGGAAATTCACATACCCGACATGAGAAGCATTGAAAAACCATAGGAACGGACCCGAAACCACCCCATCACACACCCAAAACATCCCCACAACGGTTTGATGGCCTGAGCCCTCCCCAGAACCTGCAAGAACTAGTACCCTCCCATCTGTCAAGCGATCCTTCGTGGTGTCTTTTATCAGTTTGGTACAGTGGGAAAACGCAGTGCGGCCAGTGTGGGAGGGAGTTCACAATGTGGTGACACTTACCTCATCTTCCACTTCACCTGCAAGGTATTTGTACAACTTCTTCTGGAAGCGCTCCTTCACTTCCTGAGAAACGTGCAGCTCCATGCAGCATGGGCAAAATAAATAGTCAACTACCGGCAAATCCTAAGGTCATACCAGGACAATACAGCCTTTGCAGTGAGATCAACCGAAACCCTTTAGGCTAGAAAAAACAGCCACACAAAACAGCAAACATGTAAACATCCAACAGTTTCAATGTAATGTATCGACCATGACGGCCTGTTCGGGTTTGAAGAATCCCTCCATTCGGCCGAAACCAGGGCGCCCTGAAACCCAGCTTTCTTTTGTGATTTGCTTCCATGGACAATGGTGGATTCCCAAGTGTTATCGTTTTTTGATGTCATGACTCGTGCCACCTGATACAAAATCACGTAACAAAAACTGATCGATCTGCATTTTTTGGAACAATAAATCAAACACCAAACCTCTTTGTTGGTTTGCACTGGCCGCTTTCAAACAAATTGAATGACCCATCAGTCCTACAATACCCGCACTGCAAAGTGCCCAAACATCATTTCTTCAAATCACAGCCGGTTTTGCAATGGTTTCTCCTTCACCTGACCCCGTCGAGTCACTTCTTAATCGTTTCCACCGGTTTGCTGGGCCTCGCCACGCACCCTCTCGCCCACAGGGGACCCGTGCGAAGGGCCAAGGCGCCGTGCGCAGCAGCGCTGCAGCCAGTTGAAATTGCCGTTCGTGCTCCTCGAGGACGACGCAACACGCACAGTCTGATGTGAATCGCTTGCTGAGTTCCGAAACCGTGTAAACAAATAAGTACTAGAAGAAAAACAGGTCCAAAAGGAGGATTGTTTTTTTCAAGAATTGGTTGGGTAAAGGGCTTGAACAGTCACAACATGGCGCCCCTCAAATCAGCGTCCCATGTCCACTGCGTGGCTTTGCGTGGTTCCAAATGGCCACGTCCTTCAAAGAGTAAGTGTAAGCCTGGATCAACCTCTCATGGGAGAATTGGATGCGTACACCAAAACCTTGGTGAGACTTTGATGTGGTTGCTCATCCAAAACCCAAATCTTGGCCGAGAGGCTGGAATGGACTTGGACCGGAGCTCCTTGGCACTCAACAGTGTGTCGATCACCTCGCAAACCGAGGCGCAGGTTGTGGCCAACATGGATGTGGCCCGTTGGGGCACCCAAACCTTTGCAAACTCCAAGAGCCTGCCCTTTTTCAGATGGCAGTTGCGCGTGATTAACAATCATGTTGAAAACAGTGACCTTTTTGACCCTCGGCTTATTACATTTTCAATTTGTTGTGTCTCTGCCCTGAACGGGGCAAATGAACTAGCTTAGTGGTTTGATGCGATGCATCACCTGGAAGGAAAAAATTAATCCCTTAAACACCCCTGTATTTGGGCCACTGAGCCCCAAAGGCTTACAATCACAAGGAATGATGAGATATATACATGTTGAAGGAAAGGAACGGGTATGCAACATGTACGCAGTACATATACTGAAAAAGCGTTCCGATGTTAACCCCAAAGATATATACTTATATACATTATGCACCTGCCAACTAGCACGGCCACTTTAAAGTGGATGTGTATATATATATATATATACAATTATATACACATATTTCAATGAAACGGCCACATTCTTATGAATTTTAGACTTCCATTGTGAAGGTCAATATTGGAGAAAAGGTGTCAAAGTAGGATCCAACCTTGAGTAACCCCCACCGCCATCCAACCAGGTGAGTGGAGGACAGTGAAGAAGTCGTTGCCCGCTTCTTCTGCAAGTGACCAGGCACCGGCAAACCCTTTACACGAACCAACGCACAAAACACACTTGAACCTGTTGGTTTTGGAACAACTGCAAATATACTGGCAATGCCAATTAGCTCGGTTGACCCGCTGAGGCCATGAAGGGCCATTAGTGCATTCCAGGGGAAGCAGCCTCTCTCCCATGTAAAGGGACCTTTTTCACTTGATGCCAGGTGATCGGATGCGATCCTTCAGAGCACGGCCATGGGGAAAGAGCGCCAAAGGGATCGGTGGCCATATATAGATAGATAGATAGATAGATAGATAGTATTGAATCGCCTGCTTTAAAACAGGCCTCTCGTGCTTTTGCGGAGCAAGTGGCCGTTTCAGAAAAAGGTTTTTGCACATGGCACCCACCTATGGTTCAATATCCCTCCCAACCAAAGTTTGCTGTGCAACTCTTGATGTGCGGCTACAAGGTAACGATAGATGATCTTTACCGCTTGCAACTTAGGTGAGACACGACGGGAAAGCTATAGGAGACTTTCCCCTTTCGGCATGAAGGCCGAGTCACGACTATAGATCGGTGCCCGAACGCTCCATGAACGGTGACAAAATGACATATGGACTTTTGGCCTCAGCTTAAATAAACAATCTCCTTGGCTGCAAGTCTCCCGCGCCAACGAGCGTAGCATGACCTAAACGCACGGCCCACCGCACCTCGGCTTCCGTTCAAGTGTCAATGTTCTTACTCCAGTGTCCTGTATAGGAAAGGACCTCGACGATTTGAACGCCAGAATGTCCAGCAAGAACCTTCCCCAATTCAATCACCGGTCTTTGCGAAAGGAAGGCTCGCAACTCACCATTGACCAAAACAGCACTCAATTGAATTGGTCTACGCATGTCAGGCAGTTGCAACAGGTAGATCAGTGAACTTGCGCTGAAGTCTTTGCCTACACCAGCCTGGTACAAATGATTTTATCAGGGCGACAGAAGGACGCTGCGTCTGGCTCATTCATCTCCGGAATGAATCAGGGGAGATCATTGATTGGGCCCACTGCACGCGTCCACGCAGCTGCAGCCGTGACCTGCAGGTGATCGAAGGGCGGTCCGTCCGACTTTCCCGCCTATGAGCTGTACTGTTGGCCTTCGCCTTTGGCGCGGCTTTCCTGGGAGTCGCCTTTCCCTGTGCCACATTGCCCTTCTTGCGCGTCTGCCTCCTCCTCCTCCTCCTCCGCTTGATCCTCTTCCACCACCCCATCCTCCTTCTCCATTATTGTTTCTCCTTTTTCCGAAATATCGGCTTCTTACTTCTTCCTCCTCTTCCGCTGAACACGATTCCTCCACCGCTTTTTTCTTGGTCTTCCGAGCTTTGGCCTTGGCTTTCTTTTTCTTTTCTGGCTTCTTTGCTTTCAAAGGGAAGTGGTGGCTCTTTCAACCACCAGTGAGTCTTCCACATCCTCGCCATGGCGAAGTCTAAATCTGCAAGACCCTTGTGCTTTTGGTATGGCTGGTCCTGTTCCTTCCAACGCCGGTCTTCTTCGGGTCTCACTATCGCTCTCATCCGCATCCCAAACTAATCCAACATGCCCGCTTGAAAGATAACATGTGTATGGGCGGCCATCGTGAGCATGGCTTTCAGACGGACCAACCTGTACTATTTCGGCGGACCATTAAAAAAACAGGTGTGTGTAAGATCCCCAACAGGACGAATCTTCCAAAGCTTTGTCGTGGGCCCATGAGAGACCCATAGCCATAGCAAGGTTTCTGGCTTTAGGATTCTTAGATGAACGCGATCGTGGCTCCAGATACCGGTGCTTTGTCCATGCAGCATATGGCCACGCAAGAAAAGGAACACTTCCATCTGTGACGAGCATATGCCCCAACATGTTTGAGTGTCACGGCACCTGTGAACCATTGACCGAGCGCAAGCATGTGTAGAAATCAAAGGAGCCGAGACATATACAACCGTTTGCGCGAACAATTCTGCAGACTTTTTGCTCTTCAGGAGCCACTGGACCAGCCTTCCTGTACCAATCCAATGGTCCTGGCTCCGGTGCCAGACGGCTCAGATGTCCTTGGGCTTCTTGACCGCTCTTGCCTTCGTCGTGGAGGTGGTGGCCAAGCAGACCTGAAAATTTCAATCGAGAATAGTAAAAATTTATTGAACGAATGCCCCAAGACGCTCCCAAAAGTCGTCCCCATATTCAATCTCTGGGCTGTCCGGTTGAGGAGGTGGTGCAGCCATGACCACAGGGACACGTAAGGCGAGAAAGGCAAGCAAAAAAAGGCTGCAGCTTCACATTTTGCAAACTGCACTGCGCAGGCCTCTATATTCAGAGGTCAAGGAATCTGTGCAGTTGGAGCATTTCCCTTTATCACCAAAACTGCACAGATCTATGCCCCCCGAGTG